TTTTTTTTTTTTTTCTCTTTTTCTTCCCCCTCACAAGCCGCATGCAGACCTATTAGCTATTTACTGTTGACTAACCCATACATATATGACGTGCAGAGCAATATATCCTCCACCTCTCACAATTCCGAAACCTCGACGAAACCATCACAGTTCTCAACGCTTACCAAAAGTTCCGCAGGCACTGCATGGACGCAGGGATGAACACTACTTTCCCTAAGCTCCTCATATATCACTACGGGCCATCCCGCAGCTCCAAAAGTACCTTGATCTACGATGCCATCCTCTCTCATATCGAGACGGCCATGCCGCGTCTCAGATCGTGCATCTATGTAATGCAAATCGGCCCGCCAGACCAACTCTGGAATACTCTTCTGACCAAAGCAAAAGTCATCATTGAGCTATCCATGTGCGAAGGTATCCCCGCCATGCTGCTGGCCGCCGTGCAGAAGGGGAAACCCATAATCACTGTCAATGAAATGGGTCAGTTTTCCTTTACCAAGGGCGTTGATAATATACTTTTCTTTCAGAAGGGCGATGCAGATACCATCGCCAGGCTTCTGACGGATCTCTGGACTGATCCTCAGCTGAGTGAGTTGTTGCTGCCGGGGCCGAGGAGGTTGCGGGATGAGTATACGACGGTTGGGAACGCGGTCAATTGGTTGTTTTTGGCGGCAGAAATGTCGCGAGACAGTAATACTGTGGAGCCGGAAGGGAAGAGTATCTTTGAGTTGGCTGGTCAGGGGGCTGGTTTGTGTGTTTAAAATGGTATTGCCAAATGCTCGTCTTACTGACTAATGCGTGGGGTGAAGCCCTTTTCTTTTTATTAATATTTACCATTGGAAGGGATAGTATGTTAGCCATAGGAGACTATCGAATATGATCCAGACTAGATTGCTGATTATCTGGCATCCGGATGCACAGCAGTTGCCACATCTATTTCCTACCAAAATATGGAGAAGAACAGAGACATAGTTATACCCGCTTGTATCTAGAGAGTCGCTCGCTGTACTCCACTGCGGGAATATTTCCATGGTCCCTCATAATCCCAAGTATATTGACTGAAGTTTAGAATAGATCAGAAATAAGCACACTCGGATTCAAAAGAGCGGAGATGACAAAGATCAAGGAAGAGGAGAAAATGTGCTGTGCTTCCCAGTAGCCAACTGTGGCGATGAATCCCTCGATGAATAGGCCCCGCATGATTCTGCAGGGTGTCATCGCAGCGTTCACACAGCTATCTGCTAAGAGAGCGGTAGTAAACTTGCTTCCTCATATGTGTCGTGAAGCATGTTCAGGGCCTGGGGATAGGAGTTTGTTCCCGGGATTATCAGGGGTGTGGTTGAACTTCCTGCGGTTTGTATAGAGCTCATCCACGGCGAGAAGACAAACTCTTTGCATAGCCAAAGGACGGTTGGTCTTACTGCCTTCTTCTCAATGGTCTGGATCTCGCGCATGAACGAAGCTTTGAGAAATATATGATCATTGTTACCGATGAAACGCCATGCAACGTTGATTAGCAGCTTGGCTTGGGCTCGGTCTGGGAGCGTGTATTCGTTGTCATCCAGGAACTGCTTTGCGGTTTTTTGTCGGAAGATAGTAAGACAGCGTAGCACTGGAGGGAGTTGGTCTTTTGTTGATGTACTGAAGTAGTCGGTCACCGAATGCTATACATGATGCTTCTCCCGTGAACCCTGGCGTTGTTTGTTTGTCACGGGACCGCTCTGGTTAGGTATGTCTCAAAAGGCGGGTTCACCCCACGTTTCTCTTGTGAGAGAGGATCTGAATCATACCCGGGGCCTGATTCGACTCTCTGCTCTTTTGAAAATTCATTCTTCAACAGATTGTGCCACCGTTTGTTGTCAGGCTCCAGTTGTCGCAATTAACTACAGAGAAACTGTTAGTAGAAAGGCGAAGTCGTTTGAAAGGAAGAATGCGTGTTCTCACTTCTCTGATATGGTACCTTTTCTCTCCCTTGGAGGAAACATACATTCATCGCTTTTATATGCTTGAACACAAGAGTGACACGGGTGTTCGCCCGAGCGGTTGACCTTATGTGGATGACATCGGCAACACCTGCCGGCTTTTAGTGTCTCTTCATCATCATCGGCATTGGGATCCGCTTACGCAGCAAACAGTCTCCGTGTGCGGTAGTGTGTCTCCATGACAATCCACCGGCCAGCTGTGATTGCATTCTTATCGCTTGTTTATTAATAAGAAGCATATCATTAACCTCGTGCGGGGAAGAAAAGACGGGTGTTCGGCCCGCACTTGATTCGCCGACTCCCCTCTCGGTTTGGATTTATCGTCGTTTATCATCGTAACCCCGCATCTTGATGTTAGGATGAATCACCGGAGGCCCAGCGATTGGTGTCATTATTTAAAGATGAAGTAGCGTCATTGCTCGACTGAACGCTCTTGCAGTCATACTCAAATCAGAATTGTTCTACACAACCTGAACCACTGACAAAAATGATAAAGAATGGAATCCGCATTGCTATCGACAGAGGAGGCACATTCACAGATGCCTGGGCGGATATACCTGGCCGTCCAGATCATGTCGTCTTCAAGGTTCTCTCAGTCTCTCCGGACGAGTACGACGATGCCCCAACAGAATGTATCAGACGGATTCTAGAGATGGCAAGCGGCGAGGAGATACCTAAGGGCTCTCTGCTGGATTTATCATCTGTCGAATCCATTCGAATGGGCACGACAGTGGCTACAAATGCGCTTCTCGAGCGGAAGGGTGATCGCGTAGCCCTACTAGTAACCAAGGGCTTTCGCGATTCGCTCCTAATTGGTAACCAGGCTCGACCCAACATATTTGACCTTTCAGTGCAACGGCTCAAGCAGCTCTACGAAACTGTGGTGGAAATTGACGAACGCATCACGATTGAAGGATATAGCGAGGATCCCGAACCCAAACCCATCGACATCACGTCTGACCCCAATCTCGTCGTCGGCCTGACTGGCGAGGTAGTGAGGATATTACGAACACCAAGCCTGGATACCGTTCGGGTACAACTAGAGACGTTGCAATCGCAAGGCTACCAAAATCTAGCCATTGGACTCATGCATGCATATACATATCCCGAGCATGAGCTTCAAATAGCGAAACTAGCCGAACATATGGGCTTCAAAGTATCAGCGTCGTCAGTTCTGCAATCGATGGCCAAATTCGTCCCTCGAACCCAATCAGCCGTGGCTGATGCTTACCTCACTCCAATGACCGCGTCGTACCTCGAAGGCTTTCGGAAGGGGTTCAAGGGCCAGCTGGACGATGAGAATGCAAATAAAGTATTACTCAGTCAGTCGGACGGTGGCCTGGCAACCTGGAACAGTTTCTCAGGTCTCCGAGGAGTTCTAAGTGGTCCTGCAGGAGGTGTTGTGGGTTTGTCGAGAACATGTTATGATGCGGAGGAAGGCCGACCCGTGCTGGGGTTCGACATGGGCGGAACGAGTACCGATGTGGCCCGGTATTCGGGCGCTCTTGAGCATATCTTTGAAAACACCATCGCGGAGGTTACCATTCAGACACCTCAGCTGGATATCAACACCGTCGCAGCTGGAGGTGGATCAATCCTGACCTGGGAGACTGGTTTACTAAAGGTTGGGCCACGGAGTGCCGGCGCAAATCCTGGTCCTGCATGCTATGGAAAGGGTGGTCCGTTGACCGTGACGGACGCCAATCTGCTGCTAGGGCGAATCATTCCGGAGTATTTTCCGAAGCCTCTCGATTTGGATATTGTCAAACAAAATTTTGCCGAATTGACGAACGTCGTCAACAGAGACAAAGGAGGTGGAGATGCATTTACCTCAGAAACCCTGGCACTAGGCTTCTTGGCTATCGCGAATGCAACGATGACAAGACCCATCCGCAAGCTCAGTGAAGGCCGAGGGTACAGCGCCGCTAGTCATAACCTTGGTTGCTTCGGAGGTGCTGGGGGGCAACATGCTGTGTTTATTGCTCGAGACCTTGGGATCCAGAAGGCCATTATTCCCCGCTACTCAAGTATCTTGTCTGCATATGGAATGGCTCTAGCCGATGTGGTGGTCGAGAATCAGGAGCCTGTGGCGTGGACGTTTGGGGAAGATACTCTGTCGGAGCTTCAGGCACGGCTAGATTTAATATCTAAGAAAGGCGTAGAGGCCTTGAAACTCCAGGGTTTTGATGAGGAGTCTATCGTACATGAATGTTTCCTGAATATGAAATATCAAGGCAGCGATACCACCCTGATGATTCGTGAACCTGACCAACTTTCAAACTTTGGAGTGGCTTTCAATACCCGACATGCACAAGAATTTGGATTTTCACAGTCTCGGGATATATTGATTGATGATATCCGCGTACGGAGTATTGGAAGATCTCGAGTTGTGGACACCTCGAGCCCTTTCAAGGAACTGAACAAGTTGGACGATCGCTCTACGGTTCAGCCACCTGCGCCGGCATTTACACGGAAAGTATTCTTTGACATACTTGGTTGGGCAGATACCAACGTTTACACGCTCCCTCAGTTGAACCCCGGCACCCGGATCAATGGGCCGGCCATGATTATTGACGAGACTCAGACAATTGTGGTTGATCATGCAAGCAGAGCGACCATCTTGCCCGAGCATGTGGTTTTAGAAGTTGGAAGTGTGAACCAGGAGCAGCTTTCAACTAATGCTGTGGACCCCGTCCAGCTGAGTGTATTCAGTCATCGGTTCATGACGGTGGCGGAGCAAATGGGCCACACGATGGAGAAAACTTCCATATCTGTTAATATCAAAGAGAGGCTGGATTATTCTTGCGCTATCTTCTCAGCTGATGGTGGACTCGTGGCCAACGCCCCTCACATCCCCGGCCACCTCGGCTCCATGAGTACAGCAATCACAGCCCAGATTGAGCGACACCCACCGGGTGATTTGAAACCTGGCGATGTCATCATAAGTAACCACCCAGCTGCTGGTGGCACCCACTTACCCGATATTACGACCATTACACCCGTGTTTGACGACGATGAGAATCCATCGGCGATCTTGTTCTACGTGGCTAATCGCGGTCACCACGCCGACGTGGGTGGGATTGCCCCGGGTTCTATGCCTCCCAACTCAACCGAGCTCTGGCAAGAGGGCGCGGCCATCGAGTCATTCAAGCTGGTCAATAAAGGCGTCTTTGACGAGGCTGGATTGATCAAACATCTGTACGAGATTCCTGGCACATTCCCAGGTTGCAGTGGCACCCGCACGTTGAGCGACAACATTGCCGACCTGCAGGCGGCTGTAGCATCAAACCAAAAGGGTATCCAGCTGATCCAAGCTCTCATAAAAGAGTTTACCTGGCCAGTCGTCGAGTTCTACATGAAGGCAATCCAAGAGAATGCCGCACAGGCCGTGCGGGACCTACTTAAAGGCTTCGCCCAAAGATACGAAGGTGGGATACTCGAAGCAGAGGAGAGGAACGACGACGGAATCCCGTTCCACCTGCGAGTGACAATCGACAAGGAGACGGGCAACACCGTTTTCGATTTTACTGGGACCGGGCCAGAGCATTCGGGGAACCTGAACTCACCGCAAGCTTGCTTACATTCTGCTATCATGGTAGGGACCCACGGGTTAATAGATATCGGATCTTTGCTAACGAATTATAGTACTGTCTCCGATCAATGATTTCTGCAGATATACCCCTCAACCAGGGTTGTCTGGCTCCAATTCAGGTGGTCTGCCCCGAGGGTACTATCCTATCACCCTCCATCACAGCCGCAACAGTCGGATGTACCACCGAGACATCATCCAAAATCGCCGACCTCGTCCTCAAAGCCTTCCAAGCAGCCGCCGCCTCTCAAGGCACCATGAACAATCTAACATTCGGCTACGGAGGCACCGACCCCATCACAGGAAAGGTTGTCAAGGGGTTCGGGTACTACGAAACCATAGCCGGCGGGGCGGGAGCAGGACCCGATTGGGAGGGAACCAGCGGAGTACACACCCATATTACTAACACTCGCATTACCGATCCCGAGATTCTAGAAAAGCGGTACCCAGTTATCCTCCACGAATTTTCCATCCGCAGGGGAAGTGGCGGAGCGGGGCTACATCGGGGAGGCGATGGATGCGTCCGTGATATGGAGTTCCGGATTCCTCTTCAGGTATCGATTCTGTCGGACCGACGGGTCACGGCACCCTATGGAATGGCGGGTGGAAAGGAGGGTAAGCGCGGTGAGAATATTTGGATTCGGAAAGATCCTGTTACGGGATCCACTCGGAAGGTTGCCCTTGGACCCAGACAGACGGCTCAGTTTCGGCCGGGGGATCGCATTGTCATTTTGACGCCTGGGGGAGGTGGTTGGGGTGAGGAGTCTTCGAAGGATCCGCAGGACGCTGTTGGAATACGACCGAAGATTTACGGTGCGGGTCAGGGCCTGCTGAAGACGCAAGGCAGTCTGTATGAGAGGAATGCTGTTGCGGTGGGGAATTAATAGATATATTCATGATACGCTACTCAGGTTGGTCGTGCTATTATATGGATTGTATTAGAAAGTGAGATATGTAAAATGTGCCACGACATGATACGCATGGTTGGCCACCGAAATTATTTAGAATCTGGGGAAATATATCCACGAAGACTAGGAAGTCAATTCCGAGTGCCCAATGGCTTTATCAAGGTGGATAGGCAGAAGATATACTACTTAACTCATACTTCTAGCCAATCATGGTTCTCCACCCTTTTCATTATCTGATCTCATTGATCATGAATTTAAAATATCCTGGGCATTCTGAGCGGCCAATGGGACCAGGGACAATGATAAGGAACTGCCGGGTTTCGGTAGTTGAATGGTTTACCTCATCTCCCTTAGTGGAAGGTCAAGATAAGCGATTTCGGTTTTTTGATTGGCCGGAGATAATCCTCCGTCTATCTTATCAGGGTGTATCTCCGGAGTAGGAGGTCTCGAAACCCTAATCCTCCCGAGCGGACGGTCTTGGGCTTCTCTCCCATACTATGGGCGTGATAGTGGATTCCGCTAGATGACATGACTTATCGACTAAGCTATCGATTATGGAAGGTATATGAATGGCTCGGGTGCGCCCTGGCTGGGAACTATTCCAGAACCCCAAGGGATCATTCCGAGACGAAGCATCATGGATAACACAAAATCACCGGAGGATCCAGTTGTGAAGCCACCAGTGGAGCTGGGGAAAGATGAACCAGAAACGCGTGTGGTCGTTGGCGACTCGATCGACGCCTGCGCAGAACGTGCGCTCGTCCGGAAATTTGATTTTCGCATTCTTCCCGTCCTGGCGATCATGTATCTGTTCAATAGCTTGGACAAATCCAATCTGGGAAATGCAAAGACTGCAGGGCTAGAGGGTATGAGAGGTCGACACACCGTGCTTGACTAACACAATGCTGATATAATCTTTGCAGATACTCTGAACCTCAAGGGCGACCAATACAATATCATCCTCAGTATCTTCTTCGTCCCCTATGTCCTGACGGCGCCATTTCTGGGAATCTTAGGGAAGATGTACGGGCCGAACCTTGTTTTGCCTTGCATGATGCTCACCTTTGGGCTGTGCACTGTCTTAGTGGTGGTTGTGTACAATTTTGGGGGCCTGATGGCAGTCAGATGGTTTCTTGGCATGTCCGAGAGTGCCTTCTTTCCGCTGGTGATCTATTATTTGACAACGTGAGATACTATTCGGATTCCCACTAAAAGGAATGAATGCTAACATGCACGACAGATTTTATCGACGAGGTGAAATGGCCAGGCGTCTGGCGATCTTCTACGCCGCACAGAGCATTGCCTCAGCCTTCTCCGGTCTTCTTGCCTTCGGTGTTTTCCAAATCCACTCCGGTCCACTGACCCCATGGCGTTACCTCTTCCTCATTGAAGGCCTGGCGACCATTCTCTTCGCACTTTTCGTCTTCTGGTACCTACCCCGATCGGCATCCGAGGCAACCTTCCTCTCCGAAGCCGAGAAGGCACTCGCATTCACGCGCATGCAGCTCGACAGTTCCGCCGTCGTCAACGAGAAACTCAACCTTCGCGACGCATTCCGCATCTTTAAGCATCCGACTAGCTGGGCCATTGTGGGGATTCAGATCTGCCTCGGCGTCCCTCTGCAATCCGTACAGCTGTTCCTTCCACAAATTATTTCCAAACTCGGATACGGCACCGTAAAGACGAACCTATTCACCGTGGCCCCTAACGTGTCAGGCGCCGTTGTGCTCCTCATTCTTGCCTTCTGTAGTGACTGGACACGATGGCGATTCCCATTCATCGCCCTTGGGTTCTTGTTTACCTTCCTGGGCATGATCATCTATGTGGCGATTGACACCGAACAAAATATCAACGTGGCCTACTTCGCCTCCTTCATGATGACCTGGGGAACCTCCGCACCATCTGTGTTGTTGGATGTCTGGTACAACAACAACATTGCCAGCGAAGGGAAACGAGTCGTCCTGACTAGTATTGCTGTCCCGCTTGCGAATCTGATGGGTGTGGTCAGTTCGAATATCTTCCGCAATCAGGATGCCCCAAAGTACCTGCCTGCGCTGATCACCACAGCCGCGTTCGGCGGAACGGGTATTATCCTCACGCTTCTTCTTGGATTTTGGATGTTGATGGATAATAAGCGCCGGGATCGTGCACAAGGGGTTTCATTAAGGGCTCTGGATGTCCCAACCGAGAGGTTGGCAGAGGGTCCCGGTAGTCCGGACTTTAGATGGTTTTTATAAAAACCTCGTGTCACGATAGATCTTTATGAGTTAATGTCCTGTATATACCTTTAATACTTACCATGTTCGTTTAATCACATTCTCCTCCTCTCACTTTCACTTTGATGCTATGGTTGGTAATGTTAAGCGAAAAAGCCTGGAATTTACAGACAGTCCAGTTTACTTTTTCGGTGGGATCGAATCTAGACCAGCCTTATTGCCTGGTGGCTTCTTCCCACACGGTCGTATACTATCTCCGACTTTGGTTCGATAATCTCCGGCGGTCTTACCGGGAATACGCGATCTTCATCCGCCTGATGGTGACATTCCGGTCGGCTATGTCCGATGAATGCGTTCGTGTTGATTTATCTCGAGGGGGATGGAGATCAGCAGAGTTAGGTTTATATTTCCGAGTCGGAATGACCGAGGGCGGAATGTGGTGGGGAAGGGGGGAAGATGAAAGATGAAAGATGATGAATTTAATTCGATTGTTGTTGGAGTGGATGACAAAAGGTTATTTGTTGGCCTGAAGCCACGGGATTGGTGCCTGAGGTCGGTCAAGTCCGGCGCTCAGCCCTATAAGCAAATGTAACCCTTGGGTCTTGGCTCAGAGTACCAAAGAGAGGGCACTCATCCACATGGTCGACATTGCATGCGGGACGGACTCGCCAGCAGTCGAAGAGTCATAATGACACGGCGGCGATCTATCCTTGACGAGAGATCGCAGATAAAAGGAAAATACAGATTGATGGCTGCTCGTGCCTGTGTCGACTGTTGCAGATACAGTATGTACATTTTTGTATCCCAGACATGCCACCGAGCCTTGGCCCAAACTTAGACTGCATTAGGGTGTGACTAGTGCTGACGCCGAACTCCGCCCCGCTTGGCTCATTCGTTCAACCTGGTGCCCAGTTTCAGCCTCGGCTGGTAAACCCTTTCCTTTTTCTTTCTTCCCTTCAACTCCGCATCCGTGGTATACACCATGTGTGCCTGCCGCAATCTCGGGAAGAGGAGATTCATGGAGAAGACGCGACAACGGAACTTTGTTAGCAAGAGGTCGCGGACTGGATGCCGGACCTGTCGGTGAGTCCTACGAGTAAATGTCCCGCATGACTGTTGGTTAGTAGTGACACTAACCATCGATCGCACGCAGGGCTCGCCATGTCAAGTGTGATGAAGCCCCAGGAGCATGTGGAAACTGCACGTCGAGTGGTCGCTCCTGTGATGGCTACGACCTGCAACGGCTGCCACCGCCAGCAAGATCTAGTAGGAAGAAGACGCCCTGGACCCGGCTGCTCCCCGAGGTAGGCGGTGGCATTCGCTGGGTCACGAATACGGATGAGCGCCGCTGCTTCTCTTACTTCCAGTACTACACCATTCCGACCCTATCGGGGTTCTTCAATTCGATGCTGTGGGAAAAGCTCGCCCTGCAAATGAGCTATGCCGAACCCGCCGTGTACCATGCGGCTGTGGCGCTGAGCGCTATCCATCAGGATGTCGAGATGCACGGCATGCCCTTACCCGGACAGGAGTTGGAACTCTACAATACCTGGCATCGATTCACTCTGGAACAGGCCGGGCGATCATTCGCCATTCTCAATGAACGCCATTTCTCACAAGACCCGCGTCTGCGTGAAGTTATGCTGCTGTGTTGCCTTTTATTCGTGCTGATGGAGCTTCTGCGCGGACGATATGACGACGCCTTCCAGCACCTTGAGGGTGGTCTGCGGATATTAAACGAGCTAAAGGCTCAGAGACAACTCGTCACCTGGGCCCCGCATGAATCACCGGTGGAAGAAGCTCTCGTAGCCGCATTCGCACAGTTGGACATTCAAGCTGCGAGCTTCAAGGTCGGTGGTCCCGTTCTGCGTATCGAAAACGAGTTGGACGTCTCCACCATGGAGGAGTATCTATTATTTTCCAATGTCCGTGAAGCGCGCCGTGCCATCGAGCCCCTCTTGAGTCGTGCCTTCGGCTTTCTGATGGACTGCTGGTCTAAGTCCGACAAAGAAATAATATGCAATTATAATTGGCTACAACAGGTACAACAAAAATTGTTCTCCGAATTGAATCACTTCTCAGCGCAATTTGACACCTTCTATCATTACTCATATACTCGACTGAGTCGAAAAGACCAACGAGGAGCAGATATGATCAACATCCTACGACATACCACATCCCTCTCAATTCGAACGTCTCTCATCCGAGACGAGGTCTTACTGAGTCAATACCTGCCCGAGTACAAAGCGAACCTTGCCCTCATAGAAGCGGCAATGTACAAATTCCAAGAACGTCCCAACTATACCCTGGATATGGGTGTCGTACCCCCGTTATATATTATTTCGATAGGCTGTCCCGATTACGGGCTGCGCTGGCGGGCAATCGAGTTGCTTCGGTCTTGGCCGCATCGCGAGGGGGTCTTTGATTCCAATTGGGCAGCTTTTATTGCAGAAGAGCATATTAAGATTGCATTGAGGTTGCAAGGATTTCGTGCGATTGATGGGTTATCGGGTTCTGTAGGGGACAGTGAGAGTCCGACGAGTTCTGTAGGATCTAAGGAGGATTCGAATACAGAGGGGAAATTGGAGAAGGGAAGATGGTCGACTTTGGGACAGGAAGAGTATTCCATTGAACAGGGCCTGGAGAAAACGAAGTGTATGGAGGATTGGCCTTGCGTGCAGTCTCTGCTGGCTGCGAGGAGGCAATGTATGATGTGACGTTTCTGGGTATTTGTAGATAATTATATATACTCTGGCGATGATTTTTCACAGCGGAAATATTGACGAAAAAGAAAAAAAAAACAGCAATAACATATAACTACTCTCAAGGTTAGCTCTCTAACCACAAGTACGTATTCGAAGAAGATATCAGGGTAGAATACAGACAAAAGCTTACTCCGCTCACGGTTTGTTGTGTTCGATACAGACCCCCTAGATATCACCATCTCAGACCCGGTACCACGTCTTTGACCACTTTGTGCCTAAACCCCGGTCCTGAAACATGAATAGCAGATTAACAAGGATACACTGAGTATTCACTCAAGCTGTTTCGAATCATTGCCTAGACGGAAGTGAGTGACGGTGGCTTCCAATGCCGTCTCAAGTATAGTGCCAAGTTCTAGGCTAATCCAGCCAACCTTCAGCTCGCTCAACAATCAATTCCCCTTTTTCTTTTACCCGTTTACCCAGGGAAAAATGGAACACCCGCAGTTTCACAATCTCCTGCAGAAAGGTGCCCTGCATCCGCGGGTAGATGAAGAGGCCCGATCTGCCGAGATGCTAAAATGAAGGCAAGTTTTGCGGGGACGCTGCAGATCGCCGGATTCTCCACCAACGGGAGGAAATAAAGTAGCCGCCTAACTTGGCCAATGTCGGCTTTTGGGGTCACCTCAGGTGGATCCCAATTCAGGTCCGCTTCGTATTAGGCAAAGAATTCGGAGCCCGGGGTATTAGGCTAAACGTGTGTATCTTGGTGAAACAGGCTGAAGAATGGTATCTGGTAGGTCGAGTGGGAATATAAATAGGACGATCATGTTAGATTCGAGGTAGTTGTTGTCGATCACAATTGAATCTATCTCTCTGGTAGTCTTGTTGTCACGTCTAGTCTCTCCCCTTTTCCCCAAAATGGTACATCTAAAGGCCATCGCCAGCGGCACTCTCTTCGCCTCCCTCGCCTCATCCGCCGTGATTAGTCGACAGACTGCCGCCAGTATCAATGACGCCTTTGTCGCCCATGGAAAGAAGTACTTCGGTACCTGTTCCGACCAGGCTCTCTTGCAAAACAGCCAGAATGAGGCCATTGTCCGGGCGGACTTTGGCCAGCTGACTCCCGAGAATAGCATGAAGTGGGATGCTCTTGAACGTTTGTCTCCTGGCCTCTTGTTGTTGTTAGGTGTTTGCTGATGGGAGCAGCGAGTCAGGGTAGCTTTAGCTTCGGTGGGGCTGATTTCTTGGTAAGTGTTGGATTTTGGGGGAGTGGATGTTGATTCTGACTAGGTGTCTTAGGCTGATTATGCTAAAACTAATAATAAACTTGTGAGGGGTCATACTTTGGGTTTGTTGCCTTTTATCCCTGTTAAGCTGGTTTAAGGAAAGGATTGAGGCTAATGAAGGTATAGTTTGGCACTCGCAACTCCCATCCTGGGTGCAAGGTATCACCGACAAGGATACTCTGACTCAGGTGATGAAGAATCATATCACCACTGTGATGCAGAGATACAAGGGTCAGATTTATGCTTGGGTAGGTTTGACATTGTACATATTCTTGGTTTCGACATTAACCTAGATTCCAGGACGTTGTCAACGAGATCTTCGACGAAGACGGCACTCTCCGTGACAGTGTCTTTTCCCAGGTCCTTGGTGAGGACTTTGTCCGAATTGCCTTCGAGACTGCGCGCGAAGCGGATCCTAACGCTAAGCTATACATCAACGATTACAAGTGAGTGATCGTCCAGATAAACACACCTGAGGCTAACAATATTAGCCTGGACTCGGCGGACTACGCCAAAACCAAGGGAATGGTTAGCTATGTGAAGAAGTGGTTGGATGCTGGTGTCCCGATTGACGGCATTGGTAGGTTGTCAGCATTTTCTGGATAGAATTACCTTCTAACTCTAGCGCAGGCTCCCAATCTCATTACAGGTAGGGCTTCACCAATATCACCACTTTTCCAAGATCCCCAAATTAACACTACTGACTATCTAGTGCGAATGGCTTCCCCGTCTCCGGCGCCAAAGGATAAGTCTCTTACCGCTCGCCTGTGAAACGAAAAGCTAACATCAAGCACAGCTCTGACCGCTCTCGCCTCGACCGGTGTTTCTGAAGTCGCCGTAACTGAGCTTGATATTGAGGGAGCTAGCTCCGAGTCTTACCTCGAGGTTAGTGTGTTTGTGTACATTTCTCGGTAGAAAAGGTATTAATCTGATGCAGGTGGTCAACGCTTGTCTCGACGTCAGCTCCTGCGTTGGTATTACTGTCTGGGGCGTATCTGACAAGGTAAGTGTCTTACAATGTCTACCCTAGAGGAAGAAGCCAGACTGACATCCCCAAAGGACTCATGGCGCTCCAGCACCTCCCCGTTGCTCTTCGATAGCAACTACCAAGCCAAGGATGCGTATAATGCGATCATCAATGCTCTGTAGACTCAGATACCAGCCTTGGTACAATCTACCACACTGAGGAACATGGCGGGACTATTCTGGAATAGTGTATAGTCTTTGTTCAGATATCTGACAGGGATATCTTTGCGACCATGGGATATTTACATTCTTGCTTTCTCAATCGTTATTTACTGAACAACTCTGTACATACAATCAAATTTGACTACAATTCCCGTAAGGTGATTGGCCGCCATTTTAAAAAGAGGATATAGCAAGGGGTGGCCCCTATGAAGTAAGAAGAAATTAGTGACTCGCTATCATTGCTACAGACTTTTTGGCTTTCCTACAAAGGCGTTTCTTTTTCTCTTAAAGTTGGACCCCATTTACTAGCAGGAGCACTGAGGTACAGACTTGGCAAGGCCTTCTCTTTAGCGAAGAGTATCTGGTTGAGAAATCCATTCAGGGCCTCACTAGCCGCCTTTGCCCACATAGGGCAATGGATAAGTTGACGCTCCACAATACATAGAACCGCACAAAAGAACACGCGGAGGTGCTCGCTAATACTTTTGATTGGATTTTATTATGACCTAAAGAAAGAAGGCTCTTGCCTAACCTTGAACTCCATTGATACCCCGTAGATTTCCGAGGAAGCTGGCTGTATGCTGGTTCTTGTTGTCTACTACGGTGGACTAGCAAGTATCTCTCCTTGGGCAACCTTTGGATACACAGCAGTTGGTGGGATATAATGCTCAAATCGCTGTACTATAACAAAGACTTTGGTTGAAGTGTGAAAGCTAACGGGCTTGCAACCGATTTTATACTCTAGCCTTTGCCTATACACCTATACACCAGACGAGTGTTCACCAAAACGTCACAGAATATGAGTCCCCCACTGCTTTCATCATCACTCCAAGAAAGACTTCATTGTGCAGCATATGTAACGTTGCATTGCAGATTTAGAGAGGAGGAAATTAAAATAACACAACATAGCAGGTGATAGGGCCTTGATGAGTTGTTTTCAGCTGGGACGCAATAGGGCCGGCTATGTAGTATCTAAACACGCATGACGATAGAGGTACTCTTACCGAATATACTGCTATAATCTGACTACTGATCCAATCAAATATGAAGCCAAAGCAACATGGAGCGGCACTGTCGGCATTCAGGAGCTTCTGTGATTGGATATAATCTACAACTGTCTTCAATGCTAGGAAGGGCATCAGAGATTTTGGTAGCCAATGTGATAATCACTTCCATTTGGGGCAGCCCTACTTACTGTTGCATTACTCAGATCGGCCCTTTCTACTTGGTGACATGTCACAAACAGGGAAGCGTTGCTCCCCACTCTGCTACTGAGCGCATATTCAAGAATAAGGAAAAAAGCGCCTTGCCTGAGAGAGCACAGCGGTTAGGCATCTTGTTTAGTTGCCCATGACACACATGCATAGCAGCCAGCGTATCATGCGAATACTAGGAGCAGAAGAATATTCTCGCATAGCATCCTTGATCGGTCCATTCCTCAGCTCTGTGGTCTGCTGTTCGTATGCGATACCTGAAGCTTTGCTTTCATCCGACGACTTCTATTAATAGGCTTCCTACATAAGTTGAATGAAAGAATAGATTGTTATTATACATTGATGGGAAGTTTTGATGATTGGTGCGGAGAAAAGAAAAAGAAAAAGAAAAAGAAAAAGAAAAAGAAAAAAAAAATAAAAAATAAAAAAAAAATAAAACCAAAATAAGCGTTTCATGCTTAGCCAATCGGGGAATTTAATTCGGGCAGCCTACTAAGCTCAACATGGAAGAATCTATACGTACCTTTTGTATTTTTCATATTGCGTATTGATCGACTCGCCGACTCTGAAACTTTTCTACTTAGGAACGATCCTCTATTGTAATAGGGATAATCGACAGCTTCACCTATTTTGGTTGGAACTTTTGGTCATGTGCGAGTCACCAAGCCTATCGTTGTGATGTGAGCGGCGGTTCCAGATGAGGAGGCCTCGTTTTCTCGGTCGCGCTTCACGTTCATGCAGATCACCAAGGCTGCGCAGAGAGCCCTACAAATCAATTGATTCTAGGTCATCTACCCTTGACCCTGAAGCCTTTCGCCTTGCCGATCATTGAAACCTATTCTCCATGATGGTTACTGGGGCCACGCTGCTCGAAACGCTCCAGTCAATGGAAAAAAAAATATAAAAAATATAAAATCAGAGAAAGTGATGTGGGTGTCCGAATATCCTCTGGAAGGGGTGCTATGATCCTCATTATGCTCCACTATATATGTACTGTATGCTGTGATCGGCACGAGTCACAGCCACCCGTGATACAAGGTTTCGGGAGGGACGGCCCATTAGGTGTTCCGTTGCGTAAGTTAGCATGAGAGGAGATGATCCGTTCGTCTTTCTTCTCTAGTTCTTTGGCCAGGCGTGTGGGGGCGTGTTCCAATACTACTGTACATGGCCTGTCTTATTACATCACAGCTGAAAACCACTCGTCACTTTGCATAGCAATGTGCAGCCAGCTGTTCTGAGGGACCTTTCTTGCCGATCAGCATACATGCAGGATCTCCAACGCAAAAGCCCCGCACTTCCCTAGCTACAGTTCAATCTGCAGACGTTGTGGCTGGCTGGCTGTGGATGTGGGGTTATCATGGTGCGTGGACGCAGACTTCGTATTTAAACCAAAGAGCAAACTTTGAACTGCACAGTTGCGAGGTGGAATCAAGTTTATCTAACCTCAAAATGATACAGGAGATCTGGCGGGTCAGAGACAAGTGGCCAACAACACGATTAGTCCTTGTCTATGCAGCATTGGCTGGCAAGTAACTGCATGGCTAATGCATAACCCCCTCTGAATCAGGGTTACATTGCAACCAGAGGTTCAGCCTGAGACATATGTGAATGTTCAACTATATTACATAAGGATTGACTGAAGTTGGATGCTGGGATTTTACGCGCGAAATGTTGATCCATTGTAAATGTCCGCAAGGATAGCAAACTAGTTGGTCATAGAGATCGGGAATCACCAATCAAAGCCATATCATAGCCCGGGGTTGACCATAATCTCATGAACGTCCGCCTTGTTGGATCCAATCCCCCAGATATCGCAAATGCCGCCGAAATCCCCGTACGCAGGCTGAGCATCCGGTGGCTTGCTGTTAAACCGGAACAAGACAAGACATCGCTTCCCTCGGACGTTGTTTCGCACGTCTAGGTCCTCCAGGGGAAGAAACCACGCCCCGTGGATCCGGTCTTCGTCCTCTGGTCTAGTGACCTGTGGAGTCACGATGCGCAAGCCGTCCGAGTTCTGGCAATAGTGACGGAACCACACAACGTCCTGCTTGGCTCCGCTGTAGACGACCAGCGTTCCGCCTCTATCCTCGCACGGCTTGATTCGAAGCGTGTCTGTATACGTGAGAGTCGGTAGACTCTGCCGCAGCTTCTCTTCCGGATCCTTTTCGGGGTCTCGGGGCGGTGTTGGGTTGGTGGGTGGACTCTTGGGTCGGATTAGCGTGTCGACGCAAACTCCAATGGGCAGTAGAACCCCGTCGACGATGTCTGTCCATGCAAAGTCTCTCATGTACACCTCCTGTCCGCGCAGCCCTTTGACCTGGAACTCCGGCAGCGGTAGTAGCAGCATGGTCCATTGGTATCGCTTAATCAGCGCCGTCAGGAACACCCTCTTGATCTCCTCCATGGGAACGTTGTAGTCTACCTTGACTCCATCCAGTCCCATTGCGCCCAGTAGCGCCCAGCACGCATCCTGGGGTACTCCAAAGGTACGACTTTGCTTGCCGGCGAGAATATACAGCGGTGAGTATTCGGTGTAGCCCACAAGCCCCGAATTGATCAGCGACTTGAGCGACTGGCGTAGCGCTCGCGCCGAGTTTGGGTTAGCCAGAGCCTCTGCTAGCTGACCCCTGGGAGTGCCCCCGTCTGCTTCCTGGCCTTCGGCCTGGATGACGAAGGCCTGAGCCAATTCGACCGCTAGACGGGTGATGCGGGCTGTGATGTCGAGCACACTAGCACAACCTCCGTGGAAGAACTGGTCGCCTTCAAGTTTCTCGCCATTGACATCCACCAGATGTGTCGGGCCGAGCAGGACTCCCTCCTGCAGTGTCCAGCCCGATCGTAGCCACCATTCTCCATCCTGAGCTGCCACAAGCTGTCTCCTCACCTGGTCGAGATATTCCACCGCGGTCGTAGGCGGTGGGTTTCCATCCCGCGGTCTGGACAACAGCAGGGCCTTGAGCGCTGATTCATCCTGCCAGAATGTGCTGTGGAGCCAGACAATGCTTTTCTTTGCCTTGCGGTAGATGTGCCTATTATGAATGAGCTACTGATCCTGTGAGAGTATAGGGATCTTCTCACATCTGCTTTCCAATCTCCTCGCCCTGGACAGCCTGCAGCTGAAGGCTCAATGGTCTCATACGGCCTCTATTTCCTTGTGGGACACACATCCAATCCCACCAGACATACCTGGCCCCGATCCTACCCATGATCCTTCTTGCTTCAGAGAGCGGCCATCGCCTTGTACCTGGCACGTCCCATGAGATTCCATCGGGAATGTCCGTAGGGAGATTTTCATAATCAGCGATGTACCCCCAGGTGTAGGACACAATACCGTAGCCCTCACTTTCGAGAATGCCTCTGGGGACTTCAGTGAAGGGCTTGACCTTCCATTCTTCTAGGTCGAGAAGCCATCGTGGGTTCTCGGGGTCATTGGGCGGGACTTGAATAGTATTAGCCATTTTTGACAATCTTTATGAATTAGAATCGGGAGAGGGTGAAATATCAGACACGTATGGGATGCCAGGAAACCTCTAGGCTAACTACGTATATATGAAGAGCACGCATCGGATTGGATTCCTCGCCAAGTCATGCCTCTCAGGGGACTAGGAAGACGGATAATCGGACACTCCCTGAAAGACCAAAGATCGTATTACGTGTACTTCTGTGGTCCAATCGTCCAATAAATTCGCATGGCGCACAGAATCCCTACGTAGACTCGTATGCAACTCGTTTTCTAGACTCCGGGATCACCTTGGATGCATTACAAGATTCCCACCCCTCCTTTAGTTTGATTGTAATACAGTGAGGCATTTATGTGCCGAAACATGGTTGGAGATGAGGAGCTGAAGTTATGCACGTTGGCCGCATGATCATGATTGTTGCATATTTCACCAAGAGTACCGATATTAGTCTAATGCATAGGGAAAACACCCCCGCAGCCTTCTACCAACCATATTGATGATGCTTTCATAAAGGGAAGAGCGTTACATTAATACATACTCGTGGCTAGCTGATACTGCCTTTCGGGCAAAGACAGCTTGTTAACTAGCATGACACGTCATGGACGGGTGTATCCAACATGCATAAGCGATATTGAGATCATCCAAGAGGGGCAGTAGATGATGTGGGAAATGCATCATCAGCTAAAGGCTTGCAAGGAAATAAGAGCATTGGGCATATAGCACGGAGCTGCATATAAATAGGACACTGTATCCCTACTGAATAGATGTGCGGCACCTCTATCCAAATCCATATCAAACACGAGAACTAAAAGACCAAGCACATTCAACCATGTCTGGCGAAGGGCCAACCATTTCCCTCTCCCGCTCTACCATTCTCAATCGCCTTGGTGATTCTGTTGTGGTGGCGGCCTTTATCAACCAGGATCACTTCATTCCTCTTCATCCCCGGGACGAAATGCTGAACGTCAGTTTGGACATCAAATGGTTCCATATCCAAGGCCCAAATGGCCCCGGACAATGCTTCATTGTCCCACAGAACGTGACCGTGAACAAGGCGTCGGTCATTTCCCTGCGGCTGCCAGAGGGTTCCGGGATCCCATTGTTCTATCATTTCCCCGCTGAAGCGCCCGATGACGCGCAGTGTTTTGAACTGCAGCCGATCGATGACCCGGCCCAGTCGGAGGTCATCTTACCATCGAAGGTCATCGATGTCACGAACTCGGCTCAGGACTTCCTTCACAAGCTGGTGACTGTGAGCAACTATGCGATGTTTACCAAAGGCATGAAGTTTCCTCGGTCTGCGCTGCACGAACTGCTCGATGATATTCCTGCTGCGAATTCTGCCCCCCCCGTGGCAATGTTTGCAGCGACCTCTGGGGCTGGCCCTAAAGATACCCCTACGCCCCCCAAGGGGGATTTGGATAAACTCATGGACCTTCTATCCGACAATGGCAAGCCGCCCGCACAGCAAGTCTCCGAGGACAAAGCGCCCAAACCCCCGATAACCAATGTCAAGCCTTCCGAGGCCGACAGCAACGCCGAGGCTCTACAGTGCTACAAGGACATCAAGCTGGTGACCGGGCTCGCGTGCTTGTTCCAAGAAATCCTTCGACTAAAGAAGATGCAAAGCGAAGGCCGCACCGCTCCATATGGCATCTCGGATCCCACGGAGGCCAACCTGGCTATGAAGGAGAATGCCGATCTCGCGTACCAAGTCATGCATGGTGGACTGGGTGGCTACTACGACAGCATCAATATGTACCAGCGCTCCTACAACAAGACGGTAAAACACTCTGACTTGAAGATCGAGTTTACATCCGACATCTTCAAGCCGTTTGGCTTCACCAAGCCCGCGCTCACCGAGATCTCGGGCTTCCTCGAACAGTATATTGCGGCCATCGCGAAGGTCAAGACCGATACGACATCGACCGGCTTCCGGAACTCTTTCTCCAAGCAGATTCACCAGGTGCTGCGTATTAATGTGGGCGACGACGAGAATCCTGTCTGGGTGTGGCAGCCAAAGTGTCGACTGGTGTATATGCACGTCGACAGCGCGTCGTATCGCGAAACCGTAAAGACATGCCTGAAGGAGAGTACTCAGGAGAGCTACAAATTTTCCATGGACTATGTTGTAGTTGAGGCGGATATCAATACCGAAAATGTCGAGAGAAGACGCGAGAAACTCACTAAGGCTTTCGACATGGTCAGCGACAAGAACATCGACGCATTCGTGAGCCAGGCCGGGGTGGCGAATGAAGTCACCGATAAGACCCCTACTCAGGATGGCATGTAGTGAGTGGTTTACATAGAAATTGTTACTTTATCTTGTGGTCGCGGCTTTGCAAGTGCTTCTCTGATTTTCAACCTTCCTAAATACTTTTTATGCAGTCATATCATGTCGGCTGGGGGATAGTATCAACATCCTTGTATGAGTTTAAGAGATTAAGGGAAAAATACAAAATGAGTCTGCAAGATTAGCATGATTCAAGGGCTCAGGTAATTGGTAATCTTGCCCTAAGCGCCCCTCCCCCCCCCCCCCACCAGGCGAGTATCAAATCTTCAAGACAATATATTACCCCCGCTATCTTTGACCGTGAATTCAACTTCATTAGGGGAATCGAATGATAGATTAAGCTTGCCGAGTGTGATACGAATAATAGCGGTGTCTAGGTTGATTCTCAGCCATAAAGCTATACGGATGTTGCTACTGTAGGACTGGAGCACGAAGTTAAGAGTGAGGGTAGTAGTATGCGGAAGATGAAAAGACCTAATAATGATTGCGGCATGGTCAAGGGGAGGCTGGATTTATGCACACTGTGGAGAATGCTGCCCTTAAGGTCATTGTGATGTCTAACGGGTTGAGATGGAGCAAAAATAATAGCGTAAAGTGGCATCCTAAGTATGGACTTGCTAGGATTATAGAGATAAAGTTTCAATCATTGACTTTATAAAGGGCGAAAAGTTTTGAATTGGATTGAAGTCGCGGTGGTCGGGATTAGAGATTAGACCTCAATAACTGCCTTACTCCAGGTAAATGATACTACACGCATCATATCTAGGTAAAGGGTCTGACGAACCACTCATCAGTGGACTTGATAAAGAGGCAACCTTGTGGGCGCGTAGTAGATGGAGAGACAAGGTTCCCCTCATTTCATATACAGTAGTTTATGTACATGCATGTATGTCCAAAGGTAGTAGTGACTCGCAGGTGTAGAAAATGGCCTTGGTTGGGTTATTGCCATCACACTCGAGAGTGCCAACTCAGTGGTATCACACCCCTAATGCATAAACCCATGCGACTCTGTATTATTTACCATGTGCCCTTGTCTATTGGGCTACTATACTATACGCGAATGAGTATTTGAGAGTGGAACTCTAAATGTTTTGCCTAGCTTCGAGAAGTCCACAAACCTAAGATGTCTATAATAAGATTAGTGTGACGGGAATTCCTAGTTGCATATGAATCTGCAGATGTTGTGGCTGGCTGTGGACGTGGGGTTGTGATGGTGGGTGGGCTCAGACTTCGTATAAAAACAGAAAGCTAATTTTGACTGGAGAATTGCGAGGTGAAATCTTTTATCTAACCTCAAAACCATTTCTATAATCTGTAGTATGATGATATTACTTTATAAATGTTATCTTACCGGGGTCTTTGATATAAGAGTTCAGGAGGATAAGAGTTGCCAAAAGTCTGGAGGGCCTTGCCTACCCAGTCTCGAGGTTGAAAAGAGTCAGTGACCTACACTCTGGACCTGGGCCCTCCTCCACTTCCATACAGCCAGCTACAATAGCTCCCTCTGCAGATCCATGTTAACTAAGCCATGGGATTCTTCGTAAGCGCTATGTATGATAATTCTTGGTTTTCCCCACCTCTACGTATCGTGTAAGGGCAATGCTATCTGAACTGATAATAGAGATCAATCACAGGCGCCATTGAGCAAGCAACCGTATGAATCTATCTCTTTACAGGCGGATTCGTGGTTGATCGGGTATATACACACCATCTGACACGGCGTAGAGCCAATATATGGCCAACAACACGATTAACCCTTGTCACTGTAATATTGCCTGACAAGTAATTATATGGCTAACACACAGCCCCCCTCTAAATCAAGGTTACATGGCAGCCAGACGTTCAGCCGAAACTGGATTGCCCACTATATTACATAAGGATTGCTTGAAGCTGGATGCTGGGTTTTACGCATTGATTGCTTGGCCCACCGATTGATTCATCTTCAGCAGAGTGGCGGCATGTATTCTGTCACCAGAATATCCTCGATCATTTAGCTCTTCCGTACGAGGATGGTATAGACCATCTTGGTTTACGGAGCGAGAGCTCTCATATACTATATTCAACACTCAACAATGACTAATACATGTGATATGAATTTTTAATATGAGATTGGCTATTAAAGTCGGTTAGACATTAGATATGTCTGGTGTGTCTATCGAACCATGTTCACGCCTCCACGTCAGCGTAATACGCATCCCAAGAGAACCAATCAAACGCACTGTCAAATGGATTCCGGGGGAAATTGCGAGGAGTTGCTCTGTCACCGGCCACAGAGTCAGAGGTACTCAGCTCCCGGCGCTCAACATCAGCCAAAGGCCATGTGAGAGTCAGATCAGCAGGGAGCCACTCTAGGTAACTAGCGACGTCCGGTTCACCTGCACCGACATTTGGTAGAGTCTCGCTATCTCCAGAGCGAATGGAGGCAATATTGTTCATTACTCGGTCATCGTAGTCTCCTGACTGTGGTATGCTGTGGCGTCCTATGGATATTGTCATGTTGTCCGGTGTCTGGGCAGATGCGTGCTGACGGACGTGAGTATGTGCCAGTTGAAGGAAAGTAGCCGCCACACGCTGTAGTCTGGCACAAACAGTAGCTAGTAGACGCATCTGGGATCGCATTTCTGCGTAATAAGTCACTGTCGTAGATAGCAGTTGCAAGTCTTGTTGAACGGCTGGTGTCCAGAAAGTATGATGAACGATGTTTTCAAATATTACAAAGAAAGGAGTAAAAGGGTAGTACAAGAGCTGCCTGTGTTCATCGTATTAGCGCAGGGGCCGCGATTAGTCGGGATGCTCTTCATACCAAACCACTCCATTGTATATCGAACTCCAATTTGACACGATGGAACTCAGGAGAGAGATAGCATCCCGAGCAGATGACAATCGGAGAGTCGAGTTTGATTCGTCTCCCTTTAGCAGGATAATAAGAATGTGAAGGTAGTGAAACTTGATGCTGTTGATCCCCAAGCCCATCTCCTTGAGGTGATACGCACTTGCCGAGGCACTTTCAACATGCATAGTGTCTGTGAGGATCTAGCTGGAAGGTAAGAAATTCATACTTTTAAAGACTCCAAAGAACGGGGAGGTACTGACCTGGTTTGTGTCCTGGTACCAGTCATCCAATTTAGACCGAATATCCCTCCTTGCAAGACAGGTGTCACCCGTCGCCAGAACGTCCAAGAGAAGTCCTATTAACTTCGACAGCTCCATGGATTTCTTGAGGAGCTGGGCACCGAACTGGGAAACCTTTGCTCCATTTCCCTCGCTATCATGAAGGTGAAACCTTAGCAAAATATCGTCATCTGGAAACGGTACGTTCTGGTACACGGCCACCGGAAGAAACGCCGGGCGACCGAATGCAAGGGAACACGATTTATCCATCAGAAACAGAAGCCAAAACAGGCAAAGACGCTTTTGCACCAACTCGGATGAATGGTGACTCGATGCGTGCAATCCTAGAGCCTCGGCCTGCCGGCAGGCGTGTCCTAGGAGCATCCACGATAGGTTGGGCGTAGCATAGTCCTCACCGTGCATGGATAAGAGAGTCAACGCCTGTACATTAACTTCACGTGGTTCAAGAAAAATGCGACTGTCGTTAAGAGCTAGCTGTACGTTACGCCGCAGCTTTGGTGTCTCCTTGCTATCACCATCCCCAGCTGAAATATCCGTCAGTAGTAAGTAATTGAAGTAGACAACCCATGCCTTTTCGCGCATATTGTGCGGCTCAAAAACAACCTGCCGGACCGCTTCATCTGTGGGGGCAGGGAAGAATGGCTCGCCCACTTCAGCGAGTTCCCAGAACCCTATTCGATGATCGATAAATCAGCTATGATATGAGAAGCCAGGTAGATTGGCTTACTGCTTATCAAACGGTATCCCACCGGCCGCGAGGGAACGTAAAAGTGCGTAGTATCTTCCACGCCACTTTGATTTACTCGTCCTGTGGCTAGTCTATCAGAGAGATATTGAAGCTCCAAGTAAGCGCTCTGACGAGTCTCATCACATGATGATTGAGAGATCTCGTCGATGTTAGCTGATGTCTCCTGTAAGAAAGAAAAGGAATGCGATGACCCAATGTACAGATCCGAACTAGAGCCACTCTCTGTATTTGTCACTGATTGACAATGTCTCGTCAGCCTTGCAGTATCAGTCGGCTTTGGAGGCGCGGAGAGGATAGTCTGCAAGGCGCGGTCGACGGAGTTGGTTAAACGTTGCACCGTGACCTCCAGTTGCCGCAGTCGAGCTTCGATATCACTATGTGCCTCTGGCCTTTGTTATGATTTAGTCGAATTACAGTGCTCAGGTGTGATGAATCTGGTGGAGGTGGGCTCACACGCGATCGATGCTCGACCGGGAGGAAGACGACATCTCCCTCGAGTAGTGACAGCTCCCTGGCCATGGCTTGCAGGTATTGCATTTAGGAAGCTCCCGGGAGCATCTTGGAAGAGTTAGTGACGTCGTGCTTGGTGTAGAAATATAGTAGTGGACTATACTTGAGCTTTTTTTGTCGACAATAATCACACTGTACAGGAGCTGATCAGTGGCGATACCTCTCGCTTTTTCACGTTTCCTTACCGCATATCGAGCGAATCTCTGACTAGCTCTCGATCCACTTGTCTCCATTCTCGAGAAGCTTCCGGAAGGGCTCCGGTAAATCCGTTGATACACAATGGTTACTGTGCAGGATGAAAGCAAGCAGGAAATGGTGGAAATACCAAGAAATGCCCTTGAACTCAGTCGTTGACTGGCTGCCGTCGGAGGTCCCGTCCGGAGCCAACCAATCAGAGGAAGTAAATCCGGGCTTTGCCGGCATCAATTGTACTGCAAAATATAAAACTACTCAAATTGGCTGGTTTAATACTTCATATTGTTGAAACTCATTTTCTCACTCAGTTATTCTACCTCACTGGCATAACGTTGGCAGAACCACCAATAATGGAGCTACAACCGTCCATCGCCATAATTGGAGCAGGGCCAAGTGGTCTAGTATTCGCACGGCTCTTGGAATTGGGTGGGATCACCGACTATGTCATCTACGAGCGCGACGAGTCAGCTACGCCAGATCCCTGGCAGCAAGGAGGAACTCTTGATTTGCACGGGCCTTCCGGGCAATTGGCACTGAAGCGTGCGGGTTTATTTGACAAGTTCAGCAAGGATCTCGCCCGCTGGGAAGCATCCGGTTTACATATTGTCGACTCAAGAGGTGCAACAGTCATCCGGACGGGCGAGGGTAGTGACAGACCTGAGATTGACCGTCTACAATTGCGCCAACTTCTGTTGGACTCGGTGCCTGCGCATAAGATTCGCTGGGGTCATGCTGTCAATACCGTCGAGAGAAACGGAGATGGCCCCATGGCATCCGGCGATAACGGGTGTATTATTCGTTTCGTGAACGGCACTTCGGCGACTGGGTTTCGACTTATTGTTGGTGCCGATGGTGCTTGGAGCAAAGTTCGTCCTTTGGTAAGATGGCCCGATACCCTTCGATCTTTAAGCAATAGAATGTCAGCACTAACCATCTGCTGCTTAGCTCACTTCGGTCAAGCCAGTGTATGCGGGAAAGATGTTCATCGAAGGAAGCCTGTCGCATAAGAATCCAAGCTATAAGATAGCCGCCGAGATGGTGGGCCCGGGGAACATGGCAGTGCTAGGCAACGGAATCAAGATGGCGGTACAGCAGGTATCCAATGGCACGTATCGCGTGTACTTTGGGCTACCTGTACCTGAAGACTTTTACCACCACCGTCAATCTAGTACTATCACTGCCAACGACCCCACTAGCAAAACTGAGGCTTTGCGACAGGTTCTCGTGTCATCCAACGATTTCTACGCCACATGGGCACAGGAACTAAAATCTCTAGTTGAGACTGCAGAGGGCCCCTTCCGCGCCTGGCCGTTGTACCGCATGGAACCCGACTTGGTTGGCTGGACCCGTCGCGTGGCTCCTGGTGTGACATTGCTCGGAGATGCGGCACACCTGTCGACACCTTTCGCTGGCGAAGGGGTCAACTGTAGCATGTACGATGCAGTCGCTCTAGCCGACCGCATTATTCAGGGATGCGGTAGAGATGCGAATCTTGCCACCATGAAAGAGAGTGCATTGGAAGAGGCCCTGGCCGCGTACGAAGAAGACATGTTTCTGCGTGGTCGGGATCTGATTCACCGTAGTACGAAGATCGAGACCATGCTTTTCGCTCAGGACGCTGCTGCACTGTTTCTCAAATTCTTCCAATAAGACTGGAAGAAGTGAGAGTTATAGGGTGTAGATTAGGTGCAGATGATATAAAGTAGGAAAGAAAACAAGATAATAATCAAAAACACAACAGGTAAAGCATGAACGCCCATACAAAGAGTATTTACAGTATAGAAAGCTCTTCAGAGATATGCGGTCTTAGCCTGAGATAGATCCAGATTCACAAAGATAGTAGTCCATCTGTTTAAAGAAAAATTGTAGGGTAACCGCGCATCCGTCCATTGACTTTTGATACGTTTCTCAGCTTACGTATCCTTGTCTAGTTGATAGATCTTCTAACCTGACTAGTAGGTCCCTCTGACAGTAGGCATACATCAACGTCTGAGATCATTCGTATATTCGATAAGCTAGTTCGAGTAGTATGTATGATAAACCCAAGACTGCAGGTGGATGTATAATGCAGTACATCATACTTTATAGAGGTAAAATTCCAAGGTTGTCCCAGCTTCGTCATCAAGTGGATCTAATCTGTCTATTAAGTATAACGTACAGTAGGTGATTGAAACCCAAAATAGTCGATCTATCATGTCATTAATACAACCGAAGGTGACAAAAGTGGGGTATCGTGGATCCTTATCCGGACATAGACGTTGCCACTGGATCCTATTTGGAGGCAATTTGAAGTGGTTGGATATTCAAAACAACCACAACCTGGCAAGTTAAGTCCCCAGCTCATAAGGATACTCGAGGACTACGGTTTTCCGAGACAGATATTTGCGCAGTTGTTACAAACCTCAATGCAGCAAGTTTCAGGAGACAGCCTAGAGGCTATAACACAGAACGACCGCAATGCATGTAGGAGCCTGTTGTCAAAGCTCGGAGCATTAAATGTCGATCGATTCACAGACCAAACATGGCCCTCGGACGCCAATGATCAGGCAGCAGCCCTATTAGAAAGTAGATTTGAGTCCCTTTCCTGCCTCTACCTTTTCAATTTGTTGCGGCAGTGTTTGAAATTTCGGCTCGACTCCTACATTGAAAAGATGAATATACCAGTCGATCGCTCTACAAGTGTATACTGTATTGCTGACCCATATGACGTTCTGGAGCCTGGAGAGGTGTACCTGTCAATATCTGGGCGCTGGGAAGATGGCGGGCTGGACGGAGAAACGTTCCTCAACACGGACATACTGGTTGGAAGACATCCAGCGCTCGGACTTTGTGATATACAGAAACGAATAGCAGTCTGGAAACCCGAACTATGAGATATTTTCAACGTTATAGTCTTGCCAGCTACAGGCGCATACCCACTAGCCAAAGCCCTTAGCGGTGGAGACTATGATGAAGACCGTATTTGGGTCTGCTGGGATCCCAATATTGTTCGTCACTTTGTCAACGTAGAGCCACGACAACACACGTACAGTGATGATGAACTCCAACTCACCCACCCTGGAACCGTGGTAACAGCCTCTTACACGGAAGACCTCTGCGTGAGGATGTTTACCTTTCACATTGAGCGTTCTCTGGTTTGAATGTGTACGACCCTTCACAGTGAAATCAGTCAAGTTCGCGGCCTCAGGTCAGGCGAAGCTATGATGATGGCGGCGGTGACGTCGCGTTTATTGAGTGCACATAAATCGGGAATTTGCTTTCCACAATTCGGCCTGGCTTGGCTGATGAAAGCTATGCTCGGACTCGCGCACAGTACACCCAGCCCTAGTACACCAACAACAGAGTTTCTCCAGGCTGTAGCTACGAATGAGAAAAAGACAATTTCAGAAAGCCTATTCAGGTCATATTATGCAGCCCGGGTGACAGATCATGATGATACTTTGTTGAACGTATATTGTAACCTGTCTCGTCAAGCCGAGGTGCATTCGCCGCTGCGAGAGGCCCTGCGCAGACTAGAGGACGATAGCAATTATATCAGGAAGTCGATTTGGGCATCTTACCGTCGTGGCCCTGGGGAGTTTGAAGCTATTGTTGAGGAGGCTACCTTGGCGATTGAGGCAATAGAGCCAGAGTCCTTCGACCATCCACTAAGCCAGGTATGGATTGCAAGCCCCCGGGAGTGGAATAGGACTCGCGCAGCATGTGTTTATGCCCGTCATCGTAAGGGCAAATTTACGTGGTTCACAGTTGGTCGCGCATTATGCCAAATCAAAGCGGAAAGTGGCCAAGCTATATCCATGCGAGCTGATACACTGGCGTGTTTCAAGTTCAGTCAAAATCAATTCTCTCGGTTTCTGAATCAAGAATATCTTGCAGAAACGTCAATAATATTCCGTACTAATATATCGACCCATATCACCTACTGTGCATCATACAGAGACCTTACTAATGCTCCAATCCCAGAAGTGCCTGTAGTGGCTGAGACGAGATGAGGAGATCGCACTCTGGACCAGATGACAACACATCACATGAGCACACTGTCGTGACCTTAGATACAAATTAACGCAGGCAGAGGGATTTGAATTAATAGTATCAGCGACCTTTTGCACCTTTAAGTAATAGGACACCGACAGCTCCTTTCGGGAATGCGTAAATTAGGGTCACATTAGGTATGCCATCGAGGGCAGCTTTGCAGAAGGTTTTCAAATTGGCGGTATCGCTACATGAGTTTTACTCTAGAAATGTAACTTGGGGACAGATACAGTGCAAAACTATGTCATGGTCACTACGTCCACACTATCGCGTAGAATAAGAAATATAGGATGCTGAATTCTGCGAGGCTGTGTATGTAAAGGTCGGTCTACCTGCGCACACTAAACACATAGCTGCGCATCAGACACCCAATGCGAACCTCCGGCACAGCGATACCCACCACTCTGCTTAATCCATCGGTACCCCATAACACAAACCCCCATTTGTCTTAATTTCTTCTGTGCTTGAGCTTCTTTCCTCCGTTTCTCTTCTTCCTGAGCTCTCTTCTTCCGCAGTTTCTCCAGATCTTCTTCTAGCGCTCTTCGTTCGAGTTCGCGGCGGAGACGTTCTTTTTCATGAGCCATTTTTGTCGCTGCATCGTTTGCTGATTTGTCGTTGGCGTATTCATCTTGTTGCTTGAGTGTATTTTCTAACGTTTGCACTTCCTGAAGAATATGGTGATACTCTTGGTCTGACTTCTGGGCCTTGAGCTTGTCAAGTTGTAGCTGGTTCCATATGTCATCTGATACTCCGGCATCTCGTGGATCAGCCGTATTCAGCGTGGGTGTTGCTGGCTTTATCGGATCAGGATTTGGCGATTGTGGTGGTGTATTTGTATTCGTAGTCGTCGTAGTATTTGTAGACGCATTAACATTCGTTCCAGGTTGAACGTTGCTCTGTGTATCAGTGGCAGTTGGGAGATGGTTAACAGCAGACCCAGAATGACAATGGCCAACTGTTGACCGGCTCAAACGTTCTTGAAGCATCCGACCCATTTGTACCAGAATATCACGATCTGTAAGAACTAGTCTCCCACCACCAATATTTTGAATTGTTTTGGCGAAGACCTTCTTGGCCAGATCCTGGATATCTCTTGCATTAGCCCAATTGGGAGTTTGACGAAGTTCTGCAAAGTAGGAGTACATATTCCCGCTCAAATCAGGGGGTAGATGCTCCAGAATGCCAATGTTGAATTCCTTCCCCTTTTCTCTCAGTTCATCTCTCTGCTTTCTAAACAAGGCAGTTAACAGTGTGATTGATGCATCTGGATCAAGCCCATTAAACACAATAGATTCCGGGAAGCGGCTCGTCAATCCCGGATTGATGGCCATGAGCCGGTTGATATCTTCTTCATAACCGGCCAGAATAATGACCAATTTTTGTGCATACTTCGGATGTGTAATACAAGCGACGATCTCATCAATGGCCTCTTTGGCAAACTGCCCTTCGGCCAGTCTATATGCCTCGTCTATGAGCAGGACTTTACCGAGTGCTTTCTCGAGCAGTTCCTGGGTTTTGGGACCTGTGTGCCCGATATATTGGCCAACAAGGTCTGTGGCTGATGCTTCAATCACCTCCGTAGATGAGAGAAGGTTCATTGAGTAATATAGCTGGCCAATCTTGCGGGCTGTAGTTGTTTTGCCAGTTCCTGCTCATCTTATTAGTATACTGACAGCAAGGGCGATCGGGAATCAACGCACCAGGAGGCCCACGAAACAAAAAGTTAAATGGAATCTGTGTTCGAGGATCCAAATCCAGCGCCCTCATTCCATTAGCAATTCGACAATATTCCTCCATCTGAGCAACAATCTTGTCACACCCAACCGTCCCTTCAAACAATTTTTTCACATTCTGCGCTGCCTGTTGTCCGCGATCATAGTCCTCATCGAAGTCTTCGGGTAGAAAGGTTGAAGATATACGTGGCTGGCCAGTACTTATTCTTTTTTGGTGGGTAATCTTGCCTTTATTCAAGAGGATGTCGATCTCGCCAGCGTTTCCAAAATTCGCTCGATTTCGCGCTCTTCCAAGAACATCCATTGCAACCTTTTTTCCGAGACTGGTAGTATCAAAGCCTTGCTGATTCAATTTCAGATCAAAGATCTGGCTCATTTCATCGTCCGTGAAATCATGAAATGTAAAGGCAGAATCCAGAGGAAATCGTCGGGTAAGACCTGGGTTGACATTCTGGAACATCTCCTCCATTTGATCTTTATATCCAAGGAGTAGAACACAACGGTCGTCTCCGGGTGTGCTTTGAACTTCTGCGACAATCGTATCGATAACAGCTGTTTTGAATTGGTTCGTTTGAGAGCCTGTTTTATCTTTTGTACCTCCTCCGAAGAGTCCGTATGCCTCATCAATAACAAGGACTTTACCGACTGTCGATCCAAGGATGCCCTTTGTGTTCTTTTCAGATTCACCGAGCACACTTCCCACGAAGTCCGCCGGATTTTTAACAATAACTAACAAGTTAGCCCGACTTGCCTGGCATTTATGGATTTATCACTTACCCTCTCCATTAGACAAAAAGCCAATATCAACCAGAATTTGTCCATATAGCTTCGCAACGCTCGTCTTCCCAGTTCCTGGAGATCCCAAGAATACACGATTCAAAGTAAACTCCAACAGCGGTTTCTCTTCTAATTCACGATGATAGTTATACTGCATGCTATCCAAGAATGCCTTGATATCCTTCTTAACGGTATCAAGTCCAATCATGGTCTGAAGTTTCTGCCACGCAGTGCAGTTCTGTAGAGCCTGTGACGGCTCTGGGCCGATGAGATCTTCTTTTGTTAAAAGCATATCGTCCACTGACGCATTTCTCTTCCTTTCCCTTTTAAGCCGAGTTGCTTGTCGGTCATATATTCTCGAGCAAACGTTCTGAATAGCGCGTGCATTACCGAATCCTTCATTTCCACGCCCTCGGCCGACCCGACGAGAAACGATGCGACTGTAGAGACCGCCTGCACCACCTTCTAATTTCATACGGTTCTGATAGGTTTGACTGACATTATATTCAAATATCCGAAGCAATTCGTTATCGGTATAGTCCTCGAATTTAAATTCATGTGGAAATCGGCTCGGTAGACCAGGGTTATGCGCGAAGAACTTCTCCATATGTGTGCGATACCCAGCCAACACAACCGCCATTTTTCCAGTGAGATTTTCAACTTCTGCCAAGAGAAAGTTCATGACTTGTGTTCCTTGGGTTTGGCCTTCTGTTAACTGGTATGCTTCGTCAATAAAAAGAACTCCGCCACCGCTGTTAAGGATCGTGTTGATCTTCTTTTGGCAACCTGGTATGCCTTCGTTCGCGAGCATTGAACCGGTTGTTTCTACGAAATTGCTTCCGGGGAGGACTCCAACCGAACCGAGAAAGTTGGCATAAAGTCGGGCCACTGTTGTTTTGCCTATCATAGGTTAGCCGTTTAGTTCTATGCCTTAGCCAGAATGCGTACCAGTTCCTGGATTCCCAATCAGGACAGAGCCAAAACGTTCTTTGCTCAGATCAACACCCTGCCGCAATGCCGTATCAACTCGAGCTTTGATGGTAAGAAACTTGTCTTTGACTTGCTCAAGTCCAATCATAGCCATCAGTTTATCAATGCTGTCACTGCGTGCGCCTTGAAATTGTTTTTGGTAATCCCAATCATCCTGTGCAGATGAATTGGCTAGCATGGTTACTGGCGGAGCTGGCTTTGCTGGGCTATTTTTCACAGCTCGATTTGTAGGCGTTTTGGTAGAGCTTGGCATGTGAGTACTCGATGAGCTTGCGTTGACATTGCCGTTAGAGTCGCTATTTGCTCTCGACATATTGGAACCACCAGCTGAAGACATATCGATGGCGGTATTGCCTTTGGCTAAAGAGCCAGAGGACCTCAAAGCACTGAGATCATTCCGATGTTGTGCCAAAACTCTCTGCCGATCCTCGTCTTCCTGCCTTTCTTTGCATAATCGTCTCTGGTGAGATATTTCATCCTGCAATTTGGTCAACTCCCTCATATACTCTTTCTGCTTTCTCTCTCTCTCCAGCTCCAGCTTCATGTCTCTCCTTTTCTTGGCTTCCTCGGCTCGATCCTCAGCAATACATGGTTGACAAGCACCGTTAACCTGGAAGCAGGGACATGTTATTTTGTGACCCCGAGAACAGGTCCATTCAGTGATCCTTTGGCATTTCATTTTGGTGTGATCAGAGAGCAGGTGACATTTAGATGGGCAGGTGTGTAATCCGCAGGCCAATTTGACACCACTATGTTCTTGTCAGCTACATGGTATACAATATGAGACGTGAAGGCAGGGCTTACCAAGGCAGAGGACACCCTCCATCCGGACATTCCGCATCAAACTGCTCTATTGTTTTAACAATTGCGGTCCTTGTCGGATGCTGTTCGCATTTCACTGGTAGACCATCATACAAGTGTCCCTTCTCTTTGAGACTATTGACAAAAGGGACCCAGACATCCCTTCCCTTTCGACTGTTGACGAAAGTATTTACATTTCCAACCATGATGAGAATGTTCCGAGCACGAGATAAGAGAACGTTCAAACGTTGGGGGGCTGCCATAAAGCCGATATCACCCTTGGTGTTGCTGCGAGTTAAAGTTGATACAACAATTTCACATTCTTCACCTTGGTAGTTGTCTTTTTTTTTTGTTTTTTTATTAGCATTGTATAAACAAGGGTATAGCTGTTTCACCTACCTATTGTTGACAGTCGAATCGGGCGCTTGGAATAATTTGCACTAGCCTGTGAAAGTAGGCCAGCTTTAACAAGATCGTAAGAGTCCAAGTCATTTAACACAGGATCATTATCCTTTCTTAGCCGATCCCTCAGGAGATGCAACTGTCCCAGATACGGTGTCAGTACAACAACTTTGTCAGTTCCATACCCCTGCTGTCCTAGATATTTAACAATTTTCAGAACAACCTCCACCTCGAAAGAATTTGTCTTGCTCCCTTTTGTCCCTTCATCTCGACGATCAGAGACTTGAGCGAAGTTAGTCTCTAGATTTTCATGATGGAAGAAGATCACCCGGTCCTGCAATCCGCGAGGAGCAGGACGGGACAGTGTACCTGGCGCATCTTCCAAGTCGGGATATGTTAGACCTCGCACCAAGCAGGAAATTTCCGGGCACATTCGGTGTTGTTTAGCTAGCGTTGAATGCGGATATCCGGCCAGGACCAGTCGCTCAAACAAGGATCGATTAAGATCATATCCATCACCCTTTTCTACTGATAAAGCGTAATTATTAATCTTCGGTCGTAGCTGTTGATGATCTCCAATCAAGACTAGTTGTTTCGTTTCCGAATTCAAGGCTGCCAGAACATGTGACTCCAGTATCTCACCCGCTTCCTCAAGCAGAAGAATCCCTGGAGACACCGCACGAATTTCTTCAGTGTACATGGCAGCGGCAGTTGTAGTGCATCCGATGATACGTTTGGATTTGAGAATCGAGTTGGTCCTTTGATTCCAGACTTTCTCTATATGCTTTTGACATTGGTCGATGTGGCGCGTGGATTCGTGTAGATTACTGACTTGTTCTTCAAGGATTTGATGAGACCATGTGCGGATATACTCTTGGCGTGTGGGTGTATCCATTGACCAGACGCGATGAGACTCTTCGGAACTATCTAACGTGCAGAAGCTGGGTTGTTCTCGGCCTCTTGCCCAAAGATCGTAGAGATAACTCGAGTCGACATTTCTTCCGTTCTCACCGACGATAGTCATACCTTCATTCTCCGGTGGCATGAATGTACTGTAGAAGGATGGCTCTTCAAACTCGAGAAACTCAAGCATGGTACGGGCATCAACTTTGAACTCGACATACTGCTTGAACGCTGGCGTCAGCCGCTCCTTGATATCCGTTGCTTCGCTCTTATATTTGTCAATCACGCCCCAAGTACTTCGACTGTGTTTATACGAGGAACGTTGAGCGGCTAGACTTAGGGATTGAGTGCGAGTGGTAGACTTAGATCCCAGTCTAACAATTGATGATGAGTCGATTCCAATGTCGAGGAGGTCTTCCAGAAACTGGTCTAGTGCGTGGTTTGTATAACACATCACTAGAATCACCTCTTTGCTGTGATCATGGAATATCTTGGCCAACAGTGCCCCTATAAAGGATTTTCCAGTTCCTAAAAGGTCAGCTACAGTCTAAAAGTCTTGGAAGAGGAATTTACCCGGAGGCCCTTGTATGAGACTAACTGTCTGCGTCAAGCCGGAAGCAAATGATTGCAGTTGAGTGCGATCAAGGTTCACTGGTGTTTTGGTACCAATAACATACTGGAGATTTCCATTGCCCTCATTTTGTATATCCTCTACGATATCTTCTGGGACCAGGCCGGACTTTTCGGTAAGTCCATCGCCTTGATATTCTAGCAATTCTCGCGATAATGGCAGGTCTGTCTTATCTTGTAGGCATTTCAAGATCGGTTCATATGCAAAGACCGCAGCATCGACAACCAAGAACTGGATGTCGTTATAAAGTTTGAACGATGCCAATGCCTTTTTCATTGCTTGCTCTCCCAAAACCTTCAGGACAATCACTGGTACGTCAAGGCAGAGTTGATTGACATTCCGATCCAGAGTCGCAAATGCGATGATTTCTTTGTCACGAAGCAGACATCCAAAGGCATTATGTTTGAGATAGTTAGGGCTGTCATCGAGAAATTTCTTCCGTTCGGCAGCTGAACGACTAGAAAGGGCGTTAAGTCCCTTCGCGCAGGAAATTGCGAGTGAACAAGGACGAAGGCGTCGATCGTCGCCGCAAAGAATGTTTACAATGGATAGTTTCTCAAGTAAAGATGCCCCTCGTTTACCTTTCTTCTTCCCCAAGGCTACCTGGATGTCATCACGGAGTTCAGATAACATGTCCTCTCGCATAAGCCGAAATTGATTATCCAGATGGGCTGGGAGGCGTTGGTCCCGGGACAGTTCTGATATCTCACCCATCCGGCGATAGAACGGTTTTTCTGTCGATCTGAATTCATGGGCTGTTGGGTATATGGCGACTTTTCGGAAATCTGAAAAGTCATTGTCGTGACGTCCGCCGGGTGCAAAGTCGGGGTTAGAGGGTGCATTGGTCGATTTGATCATCAATATGTGCTGAATTTTGTATCCCAATGATCGGATTTGCGCCGAGGAGGAGAGAAGCAAAGATCCATCATCGGTAATTTCCTGGGCATCGTCTCTAATGTCGATGCTCGACGAGGGTGGAAAGGAGAGCAACTCCACAACCATCCAGGCCAACGCGTGGATACCGGATTCCGATAATTCCTTTCGCTTGAAACAAGTAACGAATGCCGTCCACACCGTCTTTGGCTCGACAATAAGTGTCAAAATATCTTGCAGGAATTGACCATTACAGAGCTGCTTAATAGCAGGGTCGGCAAGATAGTGAAGAAATGGCGTAGTAAATTGGTCGATAAACTGCGGGGTAACGTTGAACCGCAGTCCGGTGTGCAAAGCCCTACGTGCGTCCGGACTGGCGATGATACGCTCAATACACGAAGAATGGTTGACTTGGTTCTGGATAGATTCTAGAAATAGCTTGATACTTTCGACGTTAGTGATAGGCCTTTTTCCATGGACGACCAAATTGAAAAATATGATCAGTTTAGCTGAGCGTTGCGACATGGCGATGAGGGCTGGTGGGCATGGGTGGGGTGGGTGAATGTTAGTAGATGAGGATATTGTTGCCTGGTCATCAAGAGACTACTGATACTTAATACCGCAAGAGAGGCTTACCTAGCCTACCAGGTCGTGGAAATTGCAACACAAGAAAGAATCAATGACAGCCAATAGACCACAGACACGTCGATGCACTGTGCCACACTGCATCAAGCACGCAGCCTTGCGCGGTTATTCGTACTTTGGCCACTGTCATCTAGGGCACATCACAGTACTTAAGCGGGGTAATATCGTTGGATTAAATGCCAAACTATCGTCTATTCATCATGCAATCCCCCAGGGACAGATACAGTCGCTCGCGGAGAGGAGACATAGGAAAGAACCGACCATGGAGAAGACCAGGTGTCATCCAACCACCTTCTCCTCGACTCGGACCTGTCTTGAGTACTATCGAGCCTGGTGATCTGCATCCTTTAGAAGATGACTGGAAAATTACCGATGTCCGTGATGTTGCATCATACAACTGGTTGAATCGGAAGACTGCAACAATTATGATCCCCGGTATGCCCTCATATACAGAGTTCAGGCCATATCTAACCGTACGATAGGGAGGCCACCTGCCTGGACTCCTTTGTCTGAACCTAGCAAACTCAGAGAAGACGCGGGTCAATACTTTCGTGACCAGAATGCCGCCCGATACCCTTCCCATCCCTTCCAACCTGCAGTTGAGGCGATTTTTGAAGCGTGTCCAGACTTCCCCACTGCCGAAGTCGACATTGTGGGCTGTGGTAGTACATTGGGAAATCTGCTGCGCTTTGCCAGGAATATTGATAAGAAGTTTCGGTTTGTCGTGCAGTGTGTTGGAAAGACAGTCTTCCTGATCCGCAGAGAGAATTCACCCACTCAGACAATTCCGGACGTTCGGGGGTACGGTCATACATTCCCAGAGGCCTACACCACTTGGGATGCAGAGGTCAAAGGGTCCGAATCACATCAGCGGATTATTCAGTATTCTCTTGGAGGATTGAACTGTCTCGTTCGGTTTGAGGCGGATGGGTATCACCTTGACTTGATTGCCGAGAGAAACCAAGAAGACACTACAAAACATGGCGGTTCTGCGAAGGACAAGAGGAGAGTCCATCAACTCCTTGATGCTTTCAATGATATCTCAATCAGTTCATATCATTCAATCGACAGGGCTTTAACTAAGGAGATTGGAGGAGTCTATATTCCCCAGTCAGCCATATTCGACCTCAAAACCCGTTCGATCCGCAGGAAGGACCAGGACTTTCTGGCGGACGAGCTGCCTCGATTGTGGATTTCCCAAATTCCTAACATGATCCTGGCCTTTCATCGTTCAGGAGTGTTTGAAGAAATACAAAAGACTGACACCCGAGAGATGATCAAAAAGTGGGAAACAGAGGAGCAAAACGACCTGCGTAAGTTTGTGGCATTGTTGAATATGTTGATAGCGTTTACGAGGGGACAGCCCGGTGGTCGGCTAGAAGTGTTCCACGATGAAGGCAGCTCAGTCCTAGAGTTAAGGGAGGTTGAGGAAAGTTTCAACAATGTTCTACCGGAGGAGGTTGAAGACAGGTGGGTTTTGAACAGTTGACTTAAGGGATGAATATGTGTTCCTGAAGCGACGGATGAATTTGCTTTTAATCCGAAACGTCTATACCACCTGTCCTGCGTCGAAGTGTAGAGGATCTGAGTATTATCGATACTTTTAATGTTTTTTTCAATCCACTTTCCCGACATTTAATTGTAGGCTAATTTAAATCTACCATTATCTTACTTCCAGTTGATGGATGTATTGTTTGTCATGATCAATCAAAGCCGGAGACACAACGTCAGGAGAAAATTGACAACCCATATTACTGGCCTCAGTATGACCGGCTTCAGATCCCCTGCGCACATGATAACTTGACATAGTTGCTCTATACACTACTCTAGAGTATCGAGAGCGTCAGTTGTCTGAAATCAAATTCACATTCCATCACCTCTCCCAAGTAAAGGGACAACCCGAGAAGGAATGAGCATACCGAGATACATCTGCATTGGATCTAGGGAAAGAGTATGTGTCGTGGCCTAACCGACTACTGTTCAGTTCCAGGATATCTAATGCTATTAAAGGGAGACATTGACTGCCGATGAGATCATTCCAGCTGTTATTAATATCAGGTGGGTATCCTGTGTGGACAAGGGAGTTGAAACTTGGAGATCGGTAGAAAATGACATTCTCTGCCACTCTTGGTAGTTCCAGTAAATTGTCTCTCTTCTAGCGAGATTCAGTGTTTCACATCGTCCAAATCAGTAAAGATACCTGATTCACAGCTCCCTTTCCAACTACAGATACAAGAACTTGACGAGATAAAGAGAAGATACAGATTCACATAGTCGGTCTCACACACAAGTATAAGCAGTATTGGAGTCTGGCTGTGGTCTCTTCTGTACGCGGTCGCGATCCAGATGCCGAGTAATGAGACCAGCTGAGAGATAGCTGATCATGACCAGGAATTCGGGAAGTATACCAAAGACAACCTTCACTGCTAGGCTTCCACCGGAGATATTCTGGTATTTGAAGGCAATCACAATCGCATAGACAATACGCACTCCGATGAGAGGCACGGCAATCTTCACAGCCAAGAGGAGCTTTTTCTCGTCGTCTACTCGACGGTGATGAGAATTTGCTTTGGCAGAAGCTATGATCAGACCTAGCACAATGAACCACCCCGTGGCAAAGATAATGAGCCCAACTTCCAACAAGTGAAAATTCTTGCCACTGGAAGCAGCGAGACCAATTCCCCCAGTGACGACCAAGTGGGGAATCAGAAGGCCAAACGGACCGAGAATCGCAGGCAGCGATGATTGAATCGAATGATTGCTGTGTGCGGATTAGCTTGTCACATATACCACAATGCAATTCAAAGGAAGGCCTACGATTCGCGCAGAATTCCAAGGGCTGCCAGCAAGAGCGGCGAGAGACCAATCCCGCTGATAATTGAAGCGGGTGTACTTGGCTGCCCAGTTGTGGACAGTGCGTGGTATAACATGCCGTTTCCTACCAACCGTAGGCCACACATCACGAAGACATACAGCCATCCAAGCTTCCCATGCTTTCGATGTGCAATGAAACAGTATATAGCTGGAATAGCAGCAATACCATAAAAGGCCAGCTGAGCTAGCTCGAGGCTCTTGGTTGAGGTTGTCATGATGGGTGTAGTTGGGTATGCGGTGCGATGTATAGAGCAATAGAGTGCTGGACTGGTCAAGAGATCTATAGAAATTTAGAATCTAGAATTGGTGGGAGGTTTAAAGACGTAGATAGCACAAGCCTTTTTATGTGCTCTCTGAGGGAGGCTCAATTTTTGTTTTCTTGTTATTAATTTCGGCCAGGGCTGCTATTTGGGTTCTATGATCCATGCCGAAAGCGAGGAGCGTCACATCGGTAGATAGTAGCGCGCAATCTGGTGGAGCACTCTTTACTAAAGCTTATCCGCCGGGAAGATATAAGATATGACCTTCCTAGGGTAGGGAGAAAACCCGAAACCGAGAATTAGCGTTTCGGAAAGTTGCCGATTGTATGTGGTCGTTTCTACCGTTAGGCTCTACCAGGTTGATAGAATCTTGATTGATTGATGAAATTGGTTTTTTATGCCCCTTAAATTGTCCAAATTCCAACACGAGTGAAACCAATCAAGCTTTAGGATATTATTTCTTGGTTTAACATACAAGGAAATCTAAATAAGATAGGCTGGGCGTGACTGATGAGCTTGTCGGCAAAATACATATGGCTTCAACACTGAACATGTCCCCCGGGAGCATTAGTTATCTAAAATCGTTAAGTAGTTATTATAAATTTAATTCTAATTCATATTGTCAGTCTAAGACAACGTATCGATAAAGTCCCGCATCGTCACAGAAGACGATGCTCTATTGGCAGGAGGATCCTGTGCAATGATACTGAGAGGCCACGCCAAAGCCCATTTCCAATCAGCAGGCATAATACCGTCAATACCTCGCACCTCCTGTTCAGGGATTCCATAGAGCCACCATATATTCTCTACACCCTTGGCCAAAGCAAACAAGTGTGCTATTATTGCGAGAGCTCGTGGTCGTTTCTCGCGGACAAAATCGAGAAAAAGCCTGGGTACAACCGGTGGGAACCCATTAAATATCTTGCGAATGACAAAATCCGGCTCTCGGCTCTGTACAGCTACATACAGGTACTCAAGATACGCGATGGTGCCGGAATAAGCATTTTTAACCATGTCTGTCATCTCCTCTGGGTGATATTCCAGAAGATAATTGAATGGCTTTGCGTGAATCTCATCCGAGTCACTTGATTCACGTTGCCAGAGTGTGGGCTGTGCAACAAGGAGTGGGCATAACCGTGAATTTGATGCCATCAACTGATGATACGTAGTCCTCATGATGGTATGAATACCACGTGCCATCGATAGCCAAAGGATCGGAGGCTCGTAGGGCTCCGGAGCGCCTTCGGAACGGAGGAACAAAGTATACAGAGAGATAAGGACAGCATTCAGACAAACTGATTCACTTGTGTTGTCATCAAGTTTTCCCGTTACGGAGCGATGCCACTTAAGAGCGGAATCAATGTACCCGTGGGATATGGGTCGAAGTGGCGATGCTTCGCCTGGTAGCAATGTCGCACGATGTGCTGCCGCGAGGGCAAGTAAAGTGTGAAGAAGTGGTTCATACTCAAATGCCATTTGGGGTACAGAGACATTCCACATTTCTCGGACGGATGACAACTGAGCGGAGCTCATGGTGCCCGCAGTTACGGTGACCCAGTGATGCATGAGACGCAGCTCTAGAACCCGCCTGCCTCCGAGTCCTGGGGAGGGCAGACTGGGCCAAGGACTCTCTTCACACCGCTGGCAAGCAACCGTGTTTGTTGGTTTGAACTTTGACGGACGAGGATTATAAATCACCGTCATCAATCCAGGGTATTCGCATAATACATTATGGCGGGCGCAATGACCGCAGTGAGGTCGCTTTTCATCGCACTAATTAAAGGTCAGCCTCCTAACTGAGGGCGTGACACGCCATATCGCTCACCTTGACCTTCCGTGCTTTACACCGAAGGCAACCGGTTGTAGATTTACGATGGCTCAGGCGAGGTGGCATCCTCTGCACTGACTGTCGATATTTGGCTTCAAGGACGATATTATTGTTCGCGCACCAATTGGGATCACATCAAGGACCAGCTCGGTTTCGTGAAGAAGACCCTCTCAGTGCAAGGGCAGAAGCGGAGTACTTATTTTCGGAAGGCAAAATGTTCTGGCCTCTCGGGTTCGGTTTCATGTACAGTTTCGGGCAAAGCGCGAACCAGACAAGATACTTTATTAGACAATAGCAGCTGCCTAGTCCCACTGTGGCACTCCATTTATGGTTAGTAGCGCGGGATCTAAGCCTTGTCCATCTGCGGCATCAACAGGTGATTGAAATAATAAATAGCTGTTGGATTCCACCCAGGCATACATTCAATTGATTCAATTCTTCAATCTACTCTTAAAGCTCCACAAGAGCCTCTGGTCCTGCAGAAGAACACACTCAGGTCATACCACACCGACAGTCATACAATAATGGGACTCATTAAGACCGGCCTGACTCTAGCCGGTGGATATGGGCTTCTCAAAGCTGCATCGAAGTGAGACTTTTGCATTATCGATCTACCTCATGAACTATGCTAACATAATAGTTCAAAGGGCCGTCAATGAATATGAAGACAAAAAGCAGAAACGCTCCAGCCAGCCCGAACACCAATATCAGCAACATAACTACCTGGGTCATGAGCCACATATGAACTACATGCCTGCCAGCCAGGCGAATCACCATTCTTTTCAACCTCAATGGCAGTCTCACCATGAGCCACGGTGCTACCACAGAAATCACACCGGCCACAATTCTTTCCTAGAGAGACAGCCCTGCAGTGCTCAAGAGAATCGAAAGAGCTATGGTGGCCAAACCCCTCCTCCATACCATCACGGTTATGGCCAAACACAAGGTGTCGTCCAGCCCGGATCGGCCCAAGAATATGATCCAGGAAGGAAATTATGAATTGTTCGAGAATTTTTGTATGAATTTGATGGGGTACAGGGTGTCCGAAAACTGGTGTCATCACTTATACTCTTTGATTGTTTCAGCAACCCCGAGATGGAATGGACTAAGTTTAATCTGGAATGAAGGGAACAATCATGGATAGTTTTCCTGATACAAACAGCGAACAGTAAGAACAAGTAATATAACACCAATGACGAGCCCTGTAATCTCGGGTTTTTCCCATTGGTATAGAAACATCTATATTAAGAATTAAAGACAAGCTGACCGTATTACAGGATTATCCAGAAATCACTGGATAGTTCGTATTTACAGGAAACAAATGTATATAAACATTAACTATCCCAGGAGTTCCTATTATAAATACATTAGAAAATAAGTAACTTAGAGAGAATATAATGAATATTAATCGACAATATATAGAATCCCATAATAGAGAGACCGGGCCATGCTGATAATAAAAAAAAAACAAGTATAGTACCCTCAATAGCATAATATATAAATACACAATACTCAGCATGCTGGCACATTGGTCTGTCAATATATATCCTTCGTGGTTCCCCAGCTTAATAGCGTTATTAGCAGAGACAGATATTAGAACTTTCCTATCTGGAGTAAAAGCTATATCGCCAACAATATCAGAATATTCTATCAGCATACTGTATATCTTTTTGGTAGCTATCTTCGAGAGCCTAACTGTACTATTACTAAAGATAGATATTAGAATTTTTCTATCTAGGGAGAAGACCAGAGCTATAATACTATCAGAATATTCTGTCAGTATCCTATATATTTCTCCGGTAGCTACAACCTAGAGCTTAACTGTGCCATTAATAGAGGCGGATACCAGGACTTTTCCATCCGTGGAGAAGGCCAGAACCAAAATACCACCAGAATATCCCGTCAGTGTGGCCAACTCGCAACCAGAGATACCGAGTTCTGTAGTAAATACTGGATCATATCTGTTTGCCCAATCCCCGAAGATGTCTGCATCTTCACCACCCTCCACGAAGCCGCGAAAATCCAAACAGCAGACCCTTATACAATTTTCTATCCCGAGAATAACGGCCACTACGCGAAGAATTCTGATAGGGCTGTCGTTACCGTGGCATTAGATGGAATGTGTGAGGAGATCGATCACAGAAACACCGAGCTGGAAGCGAAAATCGCCACGGGAGAGAAGCTGACAGACGAATATGCGGTTTAATCGTAGATGGGATTTTGGTAATCCTAGGGACAGGGGTTATAGCCCTGGTTATCGGGCTGTGGGATGTAACCTGATGTGGTGTGATGAGGGGGAAAGATCCGAGGCACTTTAATTGTCTGCTTCGGCTTACCTATAGGAGAGAGAATTATAAATGAAATGTACGGGTATTTAATCCGCCCGCCTATGTTCTTGTCTCCATAAACAAAGTCTGACTACAAGGAAGTGAATCACAAAAGAATAGAAAACGGCAGCTTGTTAACTAAGTTTCTTAATTTCTTGTCTTACCACTTGAAAATGTTTTCCGCCTCGTCCGTAGGTTGTTTCACATTAGCGTAGGTCCTCTTCCCAAGCGCGCTACTGTCCTGGACATCGACAATGACCTCCTAGAATTTACTACCGCTTCTCTACATGTCAACCTGGAGACCATAATTGCAGGCTACTTTTACCCTGGTGTCCCAGGCCAGTGCCAGCATTACATTAGTTGCTATGTCCTCTGATAGCCATCATAGTGTCTAGTCGGCGACAAACAGAGCAGGTTTCTGCTAGACTCATTCTCATGGCTCTCCTTTGGGGCTCCAACAACTCGAATCTGTGATTAGGCTGTTTTTATGAACAACCAACTGCTCTCCCATTTAGATGGAAGAGTATACACCCGTGGTAGTATTTCAGTATTTGTTCATTCCTTTCCTTTTGGATGTACCAGTCCATAGTACTCGGCTAATTTCATTGGTGGCCCGGATCCCGTTACCCAACGCTAGGCTATTGATATAGCCGGAAGGATACGGGTGTGTAAGCCAACACACAATTTACCCGATAGATAAATGAGCCAATGTATACACAACATTAGAGCGCTTCTCGTTCGTCAACACTGCAATACAACGGCAATTGCTAGTTACAGAGAAGAAAAATGACAACCACAACTCCACAACGCTACCACATCTTCGGCCAGGGAATATCCCAGAGTCTCTCACCTACAATCCACAATGCCGCCTTCGAGCACTATGGCCTCCCACACCGGTACGACATACAAGAATGCGACACTCTTCAAGACGTCAAGTCCTTAATCGATGACCCAGCCTTCGGTGGCTCTAGCGTGACAATGCCTCACAAACTCAGCGCCGGGGAGTTTTGTGCCCAGGTCGCTGACTCTGCGACTCGGCTAGGAGCAATTAACACTCTCATTGCTCGATCAATTGATGCTGGAGATGGGACAGCGAAATGTGAGATTCATGGTGATAACACGGATTGGTCCGGTCTTTATTCCCTGGTCAAGGAGTATGCTTCTGGGGAGAGCAAGCAAGTTGGGCTTGTGATCGGGGCTGGAGGCGCAGCTAGAGCCGGTGTTTATGCGATGGCTCAAGCTGAGGTTGAGCGGGTTTATGTTGCTAATCGGACGTTGGCGAAGGCGGAACAAATTGCGCGGGATTTTGAGGATTTGTGCCGGGTTATACCGGTTCAGTTTCCATCGAGGTTGCCGGAGGATCCGGATGTTATTATTGGGACTGTTCCCGGGGATGCTATGTCGCAGGAGGCATTCCAGGGTTTGTTTGGGAATGAGAAGGGTCTCTGTATTGAGATGGCGTATAAGCCGCGGGTGACGAATTTGCTGGCTGTGGCGAGGGAGAACCCCGGATGGACTACGGCGAATGGGGTAGAGGTACTTCTTCGACAGGGCTTTGAGCAGTTTCGGTTGTGGACGGGATTGGATGCACCGGAGGCCGTTATGAGGAAGGCTATTGAGGTTGCTACAGGAAAAGGACATCGTCATTGTAACTTAAAACGCGAATAGCTTTGCATAGGGTAAAGAGAACATCACTATATGTGTGGTGATAAGAACTTTGATATGATATAGAAGAATGATGTTGACTTACAGATGGTAGCGTGGACAGCGTTTCTTTGTGGACCTGAATGTACGTCTCCTTCTACCTGTAGTTGCCCACGGCGTGTAGTGCAAATTACAGCCTCTCGGTAGATGGTACGCTAGATCATCTACGAAATCTATATCTCAACTGAACGGCTCAAAACAATGCTGAATTATACTGAAGAAACTAGAGATCAAGGCTAACCAAGTAGATAACGGTGATTCGCTGCTGCTTTGAAAAGATTCTTAATTGAAGTGGGAAGTCCATAAATCATTCACATTCTAACAACACATTAGGTACATTTACCAAGCAACATCCTTTCCGTCCATCCAATCCCGGGCCTGGAAATAGAGCAAATCATGCTTTTGTCCGTTGATCGTCGACCCCTCCCTGCGATGACCAGGTAGATCCAAGAGCACCTTCACCCCCATAGTTTCCTCCTGCATATAAGCCAAATACCTATACCCTGGAGGATACTTCTGCAACCTCTCCTCATCCAGAACGGGGATCCGTCCCGGATTAATAGGAATCAGCTTATCCTTCTCATACCAGTGCCTGACAAACCGCGCCCGCCACTGTCCCTGTAGATGAGGATAGGAAGGATCCGACATCTTTTCCCAGAAAAAGATAAACCGACAGTCACTTTCGGCATCAGCCTCGCATGTCCCGCCAGATACACAGCTGACGCCACTAAACCGCTGCGTGATGGTTGCCTTCATCTTTGTTACGGCTCGTGTGGCATTCGGGTCGATGTCAGTTGTGCTTCCGTGAATCCGGTGCATGATGAAGGCTCCCTTGTCCATTCCGGCTTGTGAGGCTTCAATAAACTTTAAGTGGTGGGTTAACCCCGTCCAGGTTGTGTAGATGTGTGCCTCAGGGTGGAAGATTGAGCGTAGATTTTCCCACTCGCAGGCATCGCGATAGCATGGCCATCCCTCTGCTAGTTCGCGGAGCATGTACCGCTCCAGGGCTAGTTGGGGAGGTCCGTTGTTGCGGATGGCATTTTCGGGCCGTGTACCCGCAGGAAGAGAATGGAGGTCGGGCATTTTTAAAAATGATAATGTATATGTGACGGGAGATGAAGTTTTCTTGGGATTTCAAAGAGGCAAGGCAATCGGCGCAAAGAGACAATAATAAGCATAAGTGCGGAACTGTATTTCTAAGGAGCATGACGCATCAGTGCCTGGTAATCGGTTAAATCATCCCCGGATCGGCTGTATCCACAACCGATCCGTTGTGCATAAGAAGATATGGTAGCTTCTACCACAGCTCACATTAGTTAGTCTACACGGATAAACATTGTCTTAATTAGTTCAGCACCTCTTCATTCGCATCTTGCAAAATGCCCTCAGAAACAGATCCACGTGCTTATGCATACCTTGTCGGTGTCGGAGTGACCCACTCTATCGCTCCACCAATGCACAACTACATTGCAAAAGCACTGGGCCACGATTGGAAATTCCTCGCTAAAGAGTGTCCGACAGTGGAAGATGCCGTTCAACTCTTTCGACGATCCGACTTCGCCGGTGGAGTAGTGACCATGCCTTACAAGCGCACCATCATGGACCACCTCGACGGTCTGGACGAATACGCTATTCGGCTGGGGGCATGCAACAACGTATACCGGACGGCAGACGGAAAATTAAGAGGCACCAATACAGACTGGCGCGGGATTAAGGGATGTTTGCTGGGAGCGAGCGAAGCAGGCAGGGGAAAGCCGGCGGTGCTCATTGGGGCTGGGGGAGCTGCGCGGGCGGCGATATTTACTCTACACGACCAACTCGAATGTCGGCAGATCTATCTCGTCAATAGAGATCGCGATGAAGTAAAGGCCCTCTTGGAAGAAGCAAAAAAGGTGTACGGTGACGGTTTGGACATCGTTTACGTGGAGCGCGTCGAGCAGGTCAAAGGTCTCGCCAGGCCGTACTACATCGTGGGCACTGTTCCGGATGCCGAGCCCAGCACCCCCGACGAGGTGGAAGTTCACCAGATTATTAAGTCATTTTTATCCACTCCCCAAGAGAAGGGCGTTCTACTCGACATGTGCTTCAAGCCACGAAAGACGCGAATCCTGCAAGCTGGGAAGGCAAATGGCTGGAAGACTGTTGAGGGCACTGAGATTATCGGCCACCAGATTCATGAGCAGTACCGACTATGGTGCGGCGAGGAAGAAGGTACCCAAATACCTGTGAGTGAGGCATGGGCAGTGCTTCGAAGAGCAGCCGAAGAAAGTCCGGCAATCAATTTCTAAGTTAGACAGATTTCCTTTTAGCAATTACGCATTTGTAGATTGACGATCGGGCATTTTCCGATTATTAAAGTTCGGTTAAGAATAGTGCCGTTACCAACAAATATATGTACAGGACCAGTGCCTTGGATCATAAGTATACATTCTGTTAGAACTGCATTTATCCGTTTGCACGTAACTTACAGTTGTACCGTCACTTCTTAAAACGCCAGAATGCCTTGTGCGCCAGCAATCGCATCCATGTCCTTGGGAAGGGCCTGGGTACATTCCCTCCCCGAGAAACTCGCCCAGGCAGCCAAAGCCGGATTCAAAGGGGTTGAAATATTCTACGAAGATTTGGAATATCTCGCTAAAGAAAAAGGACCCGTAAATGATTCAACATTGCTTGCTGCCGCTGAAGAAACCAGAGCCATCTGTGACCACCATGGCCTAAATGTGATTGGAATGCAACCATTCTTATTCTATGAAGGTTTAACGGATCGAGCCCAGCACCGGGAAAAGATCGATCGCCTTAAGCTGTGGTTCGCCATCGTCAAAATTCTAGGCACCGATATCATCCAAATACCTTCTAACTTTCAATCCGAAGGAATATCGGGTGATCTGGATTTAATTGTTTCCGACATGGTTGAAGTCGCAGACCTGGGTTTGAAAGAGGAGCCTGTCGTCCGGTTTGCATATGAAAATCTCGCCTGGGGTACTTTTATTTCAACGTGGGAGAGTTTGTGGGAGGTGGTTCAGCGAGTGGACCGGCCTAATTTTGGGTGCTGTCTAGATACCTTCAACATCGCCGGACGGGTATGGGCCGACCCTGCCAGCCCCTCTGGTAAGACACCAGATGCAGATGCGGACTTGGTCGCATCGCTACAAAGTCTTATTAGGACGGTCGATGTGAGCAAGGTATTTTATGTGCAGGTTGTTGACGCAGAAAGAATGCAACAGCCGTTGGTCGTGGGCCATCCTTTTTACGTCGAAGGACAGCCAGCGCGGATGAGTTGGAGTCGCAATGCTAGATTGTTCCTTTATGAACAAGAGCGCGGTGGCTACCTACCAGTGGTACAGGTGGCTAAAGCATTCTTAAAAGGTCTTGGCTTTCAGGGGTGGGTGTCAATGGAGTTATTTTCGAGGTCGATGGCGGATCCGGACCCGACAGTGCCCGAAACACATGCACAACGGGGCATCAAAGCCTGGAATAGGCTGGCAGAGGAACTGAATCTCTAGAATCTCTCGCTGTGTATCTACTATATAGACGGTATTACCCGGTTGCACTCATATTGTGAAGGGTTACGTATCAGCATCAACCGTGAGGTGGTTGCTGCAGCTCGGTAACAAAGTCTGTCACCAGGTCTCCTGCGTGAAAGCCGAGGTTATGCGCAAATGTCGGTTCGTGACTGTAGAGTATTAGCATGGACTATTGCTCATGATTTCCTAAATAAAGGATACCTCATGGGCGTTATGGAAGCAACCATCTCTTCAAATAAAGCGTCAAAGCCTCCTGTTTCATCTAAAACAGGCGCTGTTTGTCGAGGAACGGGAGAAATGGGAGTAGGAATGGTAGATGCTACTGCCAATTCAGGTGTGTCAGAGAGACCCGAGATCAGGTAGCTCTGAGAATCACGGATGCTGGTAGGGTTGATGATGGGGGCAGTTGTACGACCATGGACCATGTTCACAGGTATACCAGCAGTGTACGTATTATCAAAGGATTGGATCGCGGGAAAAAAATGATCCAAGTTCTCTATATTCCAGCCCAGTCGCGAGTCGCTTATGTACGACCTGTTTAGTTTCGTGGGATTGGCCAACTTCAATTTATCCATAAGTTGACTGAGACGCTTTTGCAACACATCTTCTTCAGCACAGCCGCTGATCAAAATGCTCGTGCGTAAACATCGTTGTGCCTGGAAAAAGAACCAATACAGAAGGGGGGAAGATTTCGTTTCGCTGGTGATCTCAATGTATTGATCAAGTAGATCAAGGCACGTTCGTAGGGCATGGTATGCCATGGTGGTAATGGTCGCATCGTCGAAGTTACATTTGCTAACCAAACACAACGTAACAAAGGATGAGGTCAGGTGTAAATTCAGCAACGGAGGGTTCAGTGAGTGGCGCGGGGGGTATGGGCAGCGTGTTGAAAGAACCGATTGCCAGTCTCTCAACTTGGAAGCAATCTGTTGGATATTCTCTTGTCCGGATGGGCGATGCAAGACTTGGGTTAATAGTTGCATTAGTTGATGGACCAGGTTAAACATGCTCAGGGCTCGCAATGGCCCTTTCTGGGTAGTTCTCTGACTCAGGGCTTGATCACCAGAAGCTGTCCACGTCTCCCATTCCTCCAGATCATCCTCAGCGATGGGTTCGTTTTCACTCTGTTCGTCCAATGAGAGACACGGAGTTCTTTCGAGAAGTGCAGAAACTATGTTATCAAGAAACACACAACCTTGGAAAACGTGCGCGAATCTCGGTTTTCTGGCTGGCTGAGGGAGAGTAACGACAATTCTCATAGCCTGACCAACGAGCAGCCAGGCGTGGTTTAGGTCTCCACGTCCAATATTCAGAAGAGCCACAATCAGTAGGGTCTGAACGTGGCTCAATTCTAGATTATTAAAATCTAGCACCAGGCGCACGCGTATGGCGGCTTCTATATGTGTCGGCTCTAGACAAGCGTCCACGCTTACATTCTCTCGCATCATGCGTACATATGCAATAATAGCCCACAAGACTAATAGATAGCCTGCACCACGATCCTTTGTGGAAGGGTCGCCGTGCATTGTCCTTAAAATGTCGCGTCGGTCAAGTATAGGGAACCAGCACTGAATGTGAACAAAGTAGAAGTCCACCAGCTCTGCCACGTCGTCTGGAAATTGCAAATTTAATAGACAATTGGATTCAGTTACACTTGACGGAGGTAGAGGTAGAGGTGGAGTTGGAGGTAGGATAGAGTCCGTATCAGCATTCGAAGCATTCATTGGGGTCTGAGTCGCCCGCTCCGGACTATGTGCGTCGCATGATTCCCATTGGTGGCCATCATCATCATCATCACCGAGTGTATGGTATATATCCTCTTGCAATCCAGGTGCTAATAGGCGATTCACACGTTTGGCTACTTTTGAATTTCGCCATATCGTTGCATATTTCTCTACCGATTCGGTGGCGAGAAACCTGCTGTGATGCCGAGGGTCACGAAGCAGGCTTTGGACCGCGCTTTCACTGTCAGGGATCTGCTGGAAAACAATTCCAAGTACAGTCTCAAGGGCTTTCACGTAGCCAGTTTGTAATCCACGGCGTCTACCGTTGTCCTGGTATGTACATCGCCGGCCGGCCTGGCGGCAGATCGCACACTCTGGTTGCTCCCCATCGCATTTCGATTTACGTCGGCGACATTGGTCGCAAGCACGACTGATCCGCTGGCGTTTGTTTGAGTGAGGTCTTGGCATATCTTTTGAATATGCTAGACCAAGGCCGTCAGCATGGGATTCTCGCTAGTTGAGGTCAGCCTCGTCGTATATCCAAACAAGGAGGATATCGATAGGCCCACGTGATCGGCTATGGAATTAACCGATGGCAAATCCGAAACTCAAAGGTCAAGGGGATCCAGACAATCTCGTCGTGTATGGGTTAGAAAAATGTGATTGTTTTATTAAAGTACGTATACTGATGATGAGCTTTCAAGCAACTCATAGCAATGAGCAGCGCGATGGACTTCCCTGGTCTTCTCGACGATACAGCCCGGACTCTAGCTTGGCGCTGGTTGGATTTCCCGGGGCGGGCAAGAAAACCCTAGGGATCATGGCAGCTGTGGCATTGCGGCGACAGCTTGTTGACTATGTCGCTGTATTCCAGCGAAGGCACGGCATGCCTCCACAGGGTTACATTGCAGCACATGGCTCAGAACGATATCGCAAACTCGAGCTAGAAATGACCCAGGAGATATTAAGAGAGCATCGAAAAGGATGTGTGATTGTCGGACTCGGCTGGCTGGCAAGCAGACAACAGCAGGTACTCTTGGAGGAGTTCACCTCTCGTCACCCAGTTCTGTACATCCGACGGGACCGAAGCGATTTACAGCAGCTTATCGCGACTAGTCAGGACAGGTTCGAGCGCATGTGGGAGGCTGGAAATTCGTTCTTTGAATCCTGTTCCAACTTCGATTTTTACAATGTGACAGAAGGCTCGGTTGGTGAGGCTCGCTCCACACTACCTACGTATCTAAAGTTGAAAGACACGGAGAGAACGTTCGTAAGGTTCCTGCATCGCATCTGGGGCCGTGAACACCGGGCTCGTTTTTCAGCGGATCCCTTCTCTGCGTCGTACACGTATGCCCTGCAGGTACCAATGGCTTGCTTAGAGGGACAACTCGAAAGTTACGAGGAGCTCGAGAATGGGTCGGATGCAATAAACCTAAAAGTTGAGCTTTCTGGTTTTCACGGCAGAAGGCCATCCGAGTCAATGGCAAGGGCTGTAGCCATCCTTAGGAGGCACTCGCGGGCTCTTGTAATCGTAGATATTAGTCCTCCCTCGGCACCAGATATATCGAGCTATCGCAAGCTCCTAGGAATGGCCTTGAGGACCATGCCGGATGCTATCACTTGCTCCATGTCTCATGGAAATGATCTGGCGCAGGAAGTAGTTGCTGCTAAGGGTTATATCAAGGTCATAGCCACTTATCATCAAGATTATCCTCTGGTGGGGAACGAGAAACTTCCGCAGCTATTCGCCCTCCGTCATAAAACGCAAAGTATTGGTTTCGACGCAATTCGTATAACCGGCGAATCAACAGCAGCCGGAGACGTTCTTCCCGGTATACCCCTTCCGCACAGTCTCGCCAAAGACGCTCTCATACCCGCCATCGCATACAACACAGGACTATTTGGACGCACTTCGGTTTGCTTAAATCCAACATTGTCACCGGTAGTTCTCGAAAGCATGAGGTCAACAGGTGTCACCTTGCGGGAAGCAGAGATGGCGGTGTCAGCATGCTTTCTTCGTCGCCGGAAAAGATTCGGCATTTTTGGGCAACAGTTATCGCACACTTTATCACCTGCGATGCACAATGCCGCGTACGCTGCGTGTGGACTACCGTTTACATATGACACAACGGAGCGACAAACGCTGTCCGATATTCGCGAAATCTTGGATGATGAGAGTTATGGAGGCGTGGCGGTATCACTTCCGTACAAAGCTGAAGTTCTTCACTACCTGGACGAGATAAGCCCAGAAGCACTGGACATCAACGCCGTGAATACGGTGGTATTGCATCAGGAGTGCCAACCAAATGGAGTGTGCAAAACTATTCGCAAGGGGTACAATACTGACTATCTTGGCATCAAAGATTGTATCTATAAGCACCTTTCTCCAGCAAATGCTGTCCGTGACGGATCAACCGCCCTGATAATCGGTGCAGGCGGCATGGCCCATGCTGCCATATACGCTTGTTATCAGCTGGGTGTGAGACACATTTGTGTCTATAATCGAACACTTTCCAATGCACTACGACTTGTCGACTACTATCGTGAATGGGCAAAATCAGAGAATAAGGTCCCTTTAGGTCTTACCATACTCTCATCAGCTGATGACCCATGGCCAGCTCATCTTCGCCAGCCCACAATCATTGTTGCGTGTATTCCTGGACAGGGGTTTGATATCGAGTCATCGAGCGCTTTTCGCATTCCCGACCAGTGGTTGCAAAGCAAAACTGGCGGGGTCTTCGTTGAGGTAAGGATTCTGTGTAATTAGCAGAATACTTTGTACTAATAGATATAGGTCGCCTACGATCCACTAGAGACGCGTTTAATAAAGTCGATGAGACAACATGTGTCGCGAGGCTGGATCATAGTTGATGGCCTGTCGGTCTTAGTCGAGCAGGGCATTGCGCAGTACGAGCTCTTTACAACACGACCAGCTCCAGTCCATGTTATGAGACATGCCATTCAGCAGTCAATTCGAGAGAGAGCTCTTTAATCTTTTATGTAGATGGAAGTTGCATGTTAGCTGGGTATCTCCGTGATTATCACGCAAAGCTCGCAATAATAGACGTGTATGCCTTCATCAAGGGCTTTATCTTCACTGGATAGATAATATACCAATAATTCCATAACCAACAGTCCATTCTAAGATACTTCACACGGTCCCTCGTAGCTATCCATCATGAATCTCGTCTCGGGCAACAGACGACGGCCTTCCTATTCTCATACTACTCAAATGAAACTAATTACATACAACTTCTCCCCTCACTATATTCAGTTCTACATACAAACACAAATTCACATAACCCTACCAATCCATCAATCAAACATTCAAATTCTATTAACGTGTTCGAGCCTAGCTATTAAACATCTAGCTATACAGACGCCTTACCGATAACACAGAATTCTAGTCCAGAACACCTAAATCTCACAAAGCTATATATAGACAGAAAATATAATAAGCAAAACCCTTGTAATTATAACCAGAATATATACTACAGTATTTAGTCTTTCCCTTTGATTATCCTTCTATATTTATAGCTATCTTTTACGGCTACCTGGCTCACCTGGAAAGCTAACATGGGCTTCCAAAGATTTTGATTATTTTTAGAATGAGCCCATATCAGACGATGATGAATCTCAATTCCTAGAAGATAAAGCAAGTCTTTTTTATCTACACTAGCCTCTTCCGACTCGTCATCCCAGGAATCCTAAACATACTAATAATATGGAGGCCCCCGGCTTCCGCCCTCATGATAAGCCGGCCCAATTTCTTCTTCCATACTACCTCCCATACCACCTTCAAAAGCTTCTTTATAACAACCTTCGAACCAAGCGCCATCATAATTACTTTCTGATCCATCATTCTCAACTCGCCACTGTCTCACCACATTCCCATAATCATCTAAAAACACATGCAGTAAACCTCCACCCTTTTGCGCCACCTCATCCTCCACAAATATATGAGTAACAACACAAGCAGCGTGCCAGAGAGAATACCTCATAAGTGGGTTCTTGTCTAACTCCTCTTGATCTCTCGCTAAAAACTCTTTAAGCTCATCAGAGTAGTTCTCCGCACTAGGACATGGACTTTCTTGTGCAGCCTCTACCATCTCTCGGAACTCTGCATCTCTGAGTTGAAGATTGACATGCTCATTCGTAACACGCTCTGGAAAGACTTCCAGGGCAGCTGCCAAATCCAAGCCACCGAAGATGCTTTCATCGTCGAGTACGATCCCGTCATAACTAACCCATTCTGCTTCTTCATTTTCGGCCCACAGAGCCTTATGCGCCTCTTCATCCGTGTAGCAGAGACGAAGCCAAAGACCGGATAAAGATCCGGTGTCATCAGCGTAGGCGCGTAGAACCTCGGGGCGTATAGGTCGAAGAATCTCGTTTATTTGAAATTCAGTTGGAATGGGTGGCGATTTCTCATAGTAAGGCTATCAACGTGGTATTGACTCGGGGTCAGTTCCGGTGTATGATCCTCACACATTCAGTATAATTGGAGGTCCATACCTGTCTGCCTTCGAACCCCAATGCGAGAAATTGGCGAACAAGCCGTTTGCGACGGTCTGCGGGTGATTCGTTGGATTGTGTAGGATCTGGGTGAGGCTTTTCCCATTCGGAGAGAAAGTAGACTTCCAATGGAAGTTCTCCCCAGGGAGGTTGTTTTGGTTGTCTGTCGTCAATCTTATGAACAGGCATTTTGTTATGTATTCAGTCCCTCCGCCTCTTGGGGTGAAGGACTGAAAGGCATATTTGTGTTTCCAATATGCAGTGTCCCGCTAATTTCGTGTAAAATACAACATCAATGGTACTGAAGACGTATCCGTAATATACATCGACCATTGTAGAAAGCGGTCTAGTTAAACGCTCGAAATCAAATCCAATCAGAGCTCGCATCTTTAGGGTTTATTTTCCAGAAATCAAGAGTCGAAAGAAACTCGAATTCGAAAACTGTTGTAAGCGGGTTTCACGTAATATATAAAACTGAACCCCGCACGATATGATCTTTCAATACAATTCAATACTTTTGAAACAAGGCTAAGCGGGATACAGATTAGCGTGTTTAGGAGGCGTTCGAGAAGGAATCTGTAGACTGTGAGCAAGTGGTGAAACTGCTTTTCATTCAACCTGCGTATAAATTGAAATTAACCCCATATTATCAGAAATTCACATGAAACTAGAGAGTCTAGGTCTTTTTACTTTATCAATATGATACAGGTTCTTACAGAAAACAGATGGGCACATCGATAATAGTATTGTACTCGTGGGAATATATATAGTTAATCAAGAAACCAAGCTTCACTCTGTACTGCAATATGTGGAAGGTGAAAGAAGATAGGTTGAATTTTTGTATAAATATCGTATAATTATAAGATAGAGGATTATGTTTATTATATAGAGACTATATATTTGTCCAGTTAAGATACTTAATCTTTAGTAGCACCCGAGCTCTTGTATCCCCAGAGGTAGACTTCAGCAGAACCCATTGTCAGAGAAATATCTACTATTCAGGGTAGAAGACATGTTAGAGTGAGAGTGTCCACACCGTGGAGAGGAGCTGCTCCTGGCTCTTGCCTTACATTGTCTCCAAACCAAAGTTCCTTTACGACAACCGTACTCAGGCAGCCAAGAAATCTACAAATCGTCCCAGACATCGTGAGGTTGACCAATATACAAGCTTAGTGTCTTTGCACTACACAAGTATGGAAATCAAGTGCGATATAGCTATCAGGAACCTGCCCTAGAATCAAAGGATGAAACGAAATGAGTTGCTTGTACGATTGGAAGATTTCCGACTCAACTAAAAACAGAGTGCAAGCTTAACTGAATCCAAGGTGTTTGATAAATAGCATCTACACTATTGCTTCACCATCAGAACGGAAATACAGGAAGGTAACGCAGTCAAAACATAGCAAGGTCTAGTTGAAACGTGGCACCCATTACAGGCCCCATTATCGTATAGACGGCCTTAAAGAGAGCTAATGCCAGTGAATGCACGCAAATCATCCGAGTGTAGTATTCTCTTTCCGGTACCATCAGCATTGCATCGGTAGATATTGCCGCCCAAGTCGGTCAGGTAGATATGGCCATTTTTCACGTCTAACCGCAGACCGATTGCCTCCTTTAAATGTCTGCATAGGACGTTATATCCCTGGCTGCTGTCACTTGGTAGGGGGAGGCCGGACCGATCCAGGCAGATGCTATTCAAAGAATTACCAATAGGCAACTCACCGCGATCTGTCCAATACAGGGTGCGGGATGCCTCATCTATTTCAAGATCAATCGGTTCAGGGAGATTGTTCAGAAGACATTGAACATCACCCCTGGATGTCGGCGACTGGCCATAGGGAGTGTCGATATTTGCGCAGAAAATCCGACCCTGGCCACCCTTCGAGGATCCCTTCTGAGTCCAATAGAACTTGCCCAGTTGAGGAGCCACAGCGATGCCAACACACCACTTCTCAGCATCCTTGCCGTCTTGCGGGTCCTTGTAATGACCTGTTTGGATTAAGACAGTGAAGTCGCCACCATCAAAGTTGCATCGGCAAACGCGAAGCCCTTCTCGGTCGCAGAAATAAAGCTTCCTTGCTACTGGGTCAAGGGTGAGTTGTTTAGGTGTATTGATCACTCCGGGCGCCACAACAGTCTGAATGTCATGACCATCAAGGTTGGCAGAATATATGGCACCGTCATCCTTTCCGGGAATTCCCATGCATGTCCAGAACATGCGTTTACTGTCAGGATCAATCGCTAGGCCATCCGGCAATGCTTGATTGCCAACCAACACCCGACGGATTTTCCCATCGCATGAGAACTCCTGGATTTGGCCTCCTTTAAAAGAAGGCTTGGTTGCCGCCAACCCAATATCTAGAACGAAAATTCTAGGCGTCATTTGGCCTATTGAATAGTAGTTAGAGAGCCTGGTAGCACATCTAAGCCGAGGAGACGAATATACCTGTCTTCTTTCCGTCTGTGGCCCCAGGGCCCTCTTGGGGGACCCTGGATGACTGGGAAGGCATGCGCATGCTTGAACCACAGTGGCAGGTGGGATTCCGTCGCATGGGTGAACAAGAACGGATCAGACTAGTTTCGGGGACCTCAAATAATCATTGTACAAATGCTTTGGCCTTGGGGACCCTAGTTGGTTTAAAAGGCAAGCCCTAGAGTGAATAGGGAGGCTGTATCGCACATATTTAATAGTAATATCCCAAATGCAGAAGAGCCGGTTCGGAGGTCTACCGTCCGATGACGATCTGTTTCCTTCGGAATCTTATCACGCCGTGTAGTTGTTCATTTCTCCCGCGTTTACATCCGTCTTATTCTCCGGAAACCTTTTGAGCGGGATATTCGTAGTCATTGTTATTTCTAGAATTTGGAAATAGCAATATTTGTAGCTAATCTCGTGTCTTAAAAGCCGATATTGTCACGGTGTTAACAATGGCCGTAATGGCGATCCTTGCAAGACCAATTTAGAATAAACCGGCGATTAGAAGGAACTTGGTTCTGGTGACTTCGTCAGGGCTAGGGATAGAACCATGCATAGCCTGCCTACCCTCCGCTATTATAAACGAGAGAGTACACGGAAGTGCATTAGAAGGCCGTCATATGCTGAAGAAAACTTTGGAAGCAGAGAAGCATTTGACAAGTAAACCAAAGATTATCGCCTTATTTGAGGAATTATTTTCATCTTTTATTATGTCTGATGTTATTCCCAGTCCCGTACTGGGGAATGTCCTTGACATAGATCCTGAGCATCCTCACGAGAGCCTTGGACGAATTGCCAACATACATGGCGACTCCTACGAATAAAAGTATATAATGAATATACAAAGCGCTGAGAAAATCTAGGACCAATCTTCAGTATCCGACTGCCGGAAGACCGAATATTTGTTGCCAACTATGCTCTGACACGAGATTTATTTGATGAGAGAAAGTTCCAAAAATCAGTATCGGGCCCATTGGAGCAGATCCGAAACGCCTTGAAAGATGGTCTTTTCACGGATTATCCGGATGAACACAACTGAAAGGTTGCCCACCGCACTTTGACACCAGCCTTTGGACCATTGTCCATCAGAGGGATGTTCTCAGGTATGCCTGCCACTCGACGCCGCGTGAACTATCTATATTTACTTGCACTGCGGTAGAGATGCAGGATATTGTTTCGCAGATGGTACTGAAGTGGGCACGCTTTGGTCCAGATACACCAATCAATGTTGCCGACGATTTTACAAGGCTGACACTTGATTCAATTGCTCTGTATGGTCCTCTGGCCAAGGAAAATGAGTCATCGGTTGACACGGTATACTAGCTGTGCTATGGGTGCTAGGTTCAATTCATTTTACCATGAAACACAACATCCATACATTGAAGCGATGACAGGAATGCTTGCGGAGTCACTCACTCGATCCAGACGCCCTGACTTCGCATCGTTCCTATTCTCCGCCCAAGAAAGGAAGTATCGGGCCGATATAGAGAAGCTGGAAACGATTGAAAAGGAACTTCTCCAGGATCGACAACAAAACCCTACTGACAATAAAGACTAGCTAAACGCAATGGTTTCTAATGAAGGCCCAAAGACAGGCGAGACCCTAAGCGATGAAACAATTATTCGTAACATGATCACCTTTTTGATTGCTGGTAAATATCTTCTCTGCCATGTATAAATCTTCCTCACAGTTGATTGATAAGATTGAAGGGCATGAGACTACGTCTGGACTACTGTCGTTTCTCTTCTATGAACATATCCAAAACCCAGAAGCGTATAGAAAGGAGCAGGAAAAGGTGGATATAGTGATTGGGAAAGACACCATCACAGTTAATCATATGTCGAAGCTCCTATTCCTAGAGGCTTGCCTCCGCGAAACACTCCGCCTTCACCCTCCAAACTAAAGGAGATCAGGTCCTTGATGGGCGCTACCATGTTAAAGATGGGGAATCTGTCCAGATCCTCCTGACTAGGTTCCATCGTGACCCGGAAGTATATGGCCCAGATGTGGAGGAGTTCAAGCCTTCTCGGATGCTGGATGATGCATTCGACAAGCTTCCCCGCAATGCTTGGAAGGTACGAGTCATCCTGGTAGCTAACTATGCCAATATCTTTATCTGATTTACTTAATCCGCGCTAGCCTTTTGGAAATGGCGTCCGTGCCTGTATTGGTTGGCCCTTCACTTGGCAGGAAGCTCTGTTAGCTGTGGCGTCGTTGCTAAGCAAAGGGCCAATTTTTACGGACAGAAAATGTTTGTCCTTCCGGCGGATCTAGAATCATAATGAAAAGTTGCCCCACGCTCACCCAAGGAACCCTTAGTCTCCAACTCAGTGGGGCGGATCTTTGCTTTCCAATTTCGCCGAAGGGCCGCGGTACGAATGAATGAATTTCCGGGACCATAAAATACCGCGGCCGGAATGTTCCATTGGTTGTCTACCAAATATCGCTTGTTTAATAGGATCTACTCGCCTAGACTCATAATATGCGGGCATGATGCAAATGTATGTTCCGGGTCTGAGGGTGAAGATTGTTGGCACTGGCGCTGGACATATGTTGCTAATACCTGAAAAGCCAGAGTAGTTGCTTAATCATGACCTCCTTAATTATCCCTCGGGATTTAGGCTAGCAGTGGCCTTTTGCGCCGCGGGTAGATAACAAGCTTTTGCCATGCTAAGGCGATACAAGTAGATTAAGACCGCCGCGTAGACTGGTGAACACTAACCCTTAACCACTACTATCCCTCGTACGGAGCTTGCTATTTCCGTTTGAAGTTGCCGCCCAACCCTTCCTTGATTTTTAGTACGAAACATGGAGACTTGCTCCACGAGGTCTGACATACGTTACGCAAAGGCAAGTGAGGCTAAAATGAAACAGCTGGTGGTATCTCCTAACTTTGCTAATTATATAGGCGTGCAATCCATGTAGGAGAAGAAAGATAAAGTGTGATGGCCAGAGGCCATTATGCTCTTCCTGCAAAACATTCAGTGAAACATGCTCGTTCAATGATGTCGTGAGAAATCGAAGGCGCCGGCCCAAGTTCGTACGCCCTTGTATAGCAACATGTACCAATAGCTAATCAGATAAAGCCATGCATATATTTCGAGTCTGGAAGCAAATGTGAAAGACCTAGAAGAGAAATTACGCTTGGCTCGGTCTCTTAGCAGCGAACCCCTGGAACTGACCAAAAAGTCGCCAGCACAAAGTGAGAGTCCAATCGATCATCCGCAGGCAGAATGCCACTCAGAAAACGATGGACATAAGTGTGATGGAGATGGGAAGCAAGACGAGGATGGTCTACATGATGTCCGATCCAGCGGTAAAAATCCAGCTGGAGCCGACAGCAACCTTGCGCAGGTTAAGCGAAGCAATCACCATCTTTTCTTTACGACACCTCAAGGGGCGATGCGCTTCTATGGTATGCATTTTGTATTTTGTTTCTTGTTTCTCTTTGCCTTGACCTTCCCTTTTACCTTTCATTGCGAGTTACAGCAAACCGAAGGAATTGGGTGAATATCTGACCATCATCAGGACCGTCCTCCGGCTTCTCTATATTTTCAGCAGGCAATCCGCAATGGACCAATGATCGCCCAGAGAATGCGGTTTGGCAAAGCGCTTCTCTCCGCGAGATGGACACCTGGCACTTAAGAAGCTGGGTTCCACAAGCCCTCCGGGACGATTTCAGCAAGAGGGAATCTCAACCACTACCCTCAAAGCCCACAACGCTGAAGCTAGTAGGAGACTATTTTGCTCATATCAATATGGCCTTGCCACTCTTCGATGAACAACAATTCCTCAGGCGCCTAGAGCGTCAATACACTTGGAATCCAGACAGTAGTCCATCCTGGTGGGCAGCACTCAATATCGTCCTTGCTCTGGCGGAGAAACGGAAAGTTGAACATGACTACAATAACAATGGGAACTGCCTGGTATCCTTGGGCTACGTGAAGAATGCCCTGAATGTTGTGACCCAGTTGCTTTTGCAAAATACGGATATATTGGCTGTCCAGGCTATGCTAGGCCTTGCTCTTTACTTCCAGGACACTGCGAATCCCCAACCACTCTTCGTGTTTAGTTCACTTGCACTTCGCTTGGGGCAAGCAATTGGAATTCATAGATCGGTACGCTTTGGACTAAGCAACTGTGAAGTGGAAGAGAGACGGAATGTATTCTGGATTGCATATGTCCTAGATTCAGATATCTGCCTGCGCACGGGACGGCCGCCCATACAGGATGGAGACGACTACGATGTTCAGCTCCCCGGCGAATACTCCAAAGGAGGGAAAGGGGTGTTACAACAACAGGGTTCCTATATTGACGTGAGCTTTTTCGGTTTGTTGGCGCGGTTTGCTGTGTTGCAGCGGCGTGTCTACGATCGAGTTTATTCTATCTCAAGTTTGCAAAAGGTTTCTCCAGACTTACTGATTGACATTGAGCAATGTGAGAAAGAACTTAAAGCGTGGAAAGCAGGAATTCCTCAGCATTACCGACCGCGGCGGAATTATACTGCCCCCCAGGAAGCCATCCTTCCACACGTCATTCGGTTGCACCTGGCTTTTCATTGCTGTGAAATCAATCTTCATCGTGTGATCGAGCTGCCGGGGAGGTGTAAAACCCATGCCCACTCCTGCAAAAGCCATACAGAGTCCACGTCTATCGCGCTTGAAGCCGCACGGTCTTCTATTGAGCTCATAGAACCGATAAAATCATTGGGTTCATCTTTTTCTTGGTATGTTGATGTCTTGGCCGATGAAGTCACGTAGTTGAATCAAGGAGGCAATGTTAACAGATGCTTTTCCAGGGGATGTGCATACTATCCTGCTGCTGCCGCAGCGACGTTATTCGCAAAACTTCTTGCCGACCCTAATCATGACCGGAATAAGTCAGATCTTCAAAGAATCCGTCGGGTTACGGATTTTATATCTACATTAGTATCCGAAGAAGGGGGCACATATTTAGATTATGTCCTCTGGATGTGTAAGAAGTTCGAACTGACGGCGCAGAAGCTTCTGCAGCCCGATCAACAAGAAGATGGAAATCCTCTGAAAGAGAAGACAGGTGTTATTGCGCCTGCCTCTCATCCGTTTCAGCAACGTGTCTGGGATAATGCGTCTCTCTCTCCTAGCTGTCCTTCTATCTATGGAGGACCCACCAACCTCAGCGCTATTCCCTGGCGAGGGGACCTCGGAGAGCAGAATGCGCTCTTTCACTCCAGTGATATCCCGCTTCCTCCAGACTGGGAAAGCGAGCACCAGTTACCCATGGGATGGAATCTGCAGGATATGACCAGCGGCCTCCCTCCCTTTTTTCGTTTATATTAGACTTTTATGTAACATGCAATGAGAGAATGAAACCAAGCTGTAAATGTTGAACCGCGGCAAACCTTCAGAGGTTGACGTCACCCACGAACCTTGTACCGCGGATTATTTAATGGTGACTTTTCAAATATCCTCAACCCCAACTACAAATTATCACAACATATTCAATCAACTGACTCGGAACTGAAAACACACACGGTTTTCTACTGGTTGTGCCTCCTCAGGATGACGTGGCAACCACCCACTATCGATAATCGCTATGTAGCAGTGCTTGGTGCCGGGGTGCTCGGTACGATTGAGCCTTCTCGCCCGTGGAAAAAAAAAAATGTATTCGGGTCTAATATATCTGTCAAGGCCGTCGAATTGCTTGTACCTGGGTTGCAGCAGGCTACAATGTAACCATTAGAGATCCGAGTCCAGATCAGCGGCATGCTGCTGTTCATTTCATTGACAACAACCTTGCTACGTTTGCTAAGACCCTTGGTGACAAGTCAGTCCCCGGACAATATGCTGCATTTGCAGATTTGGATTCTGCTGTGAAGGATGCATGGTTTGTGATCGAAGCTATTCCAGAGAGGCTTGATCTAAAGATCGCCACGTTTGGTGACCTTGCGAAGAAAGCACCAAGGGATTGTATTTTTGGGTCCAACTCATCATCCTACAAGTCACGGCTGATGCTTGAGAAAATGGATGATGAGGCCAAACGGCGCACCCTGAACGTCCATTATACCATGCCCCCAGGAAATAGGGTCGTAGAGCTGATGACTAGCACCCATACTTACGCTGACATTTTCCCTTTCCTTGTTCATAAACACCAGGAGGTTGGGCTGGTGCCAGCCGTCGCCCGCAAGGAATCTACTGGGTCAGCCTGTCCTTCTCTATGCTGTCTCAGGTGCCTGGAATAACTGCTAACCTACAGCTAGTTTCATCATCAACCGCCTATGGGCAGCTGTGAAGAGAGAGACACTAACGATCTTGGCAGAAGGAGTTAGTGATCCAGAACAGATCGACACTCTATGGGTAAACCCGCTCAATGTCCCTCTAGCGATGGCACATTCTAACTGGTGGGCAAAATAGATGGAAATGTTTGGCGGCACGGCAGGGCCCTGTAGCATGATGGATGCGGTTGGCCTCGATACAGTAGCCTTTATTGAGGATAACTATATTCAGGAACGCCACCTGGACAGTGCAGATACGGTAGACTGGCTGCGAGAGAATTACGTCAACCAAGGGCGATTAGGCGCAAAGTCTGGAAATGGAGGACTTTACCCAGCTGGCTTCACGACGAAATCGGCTGCTGAGAATGCCAGTCATCACGACAACTTGGCCGCACCAACGCTCTATGTCCTTGATATAGGACTGGGTGAAAATATCACCGATAATTTCCTTACAGCCGGCAAAATCTACGCTGCCTCGGCCAATGGTCAGAATGTGAAAAAGATCGTCGATGGCCTTACAGGGCCTGATGGGGTCGATATTAGTGTCAGCCATGGCAGAATATTCTGGACAAATATGGGGATACCCTCTGAAAATGATGGATCTGTCCAGTCATGCAACCTAGATGGTTCTGATATCAAGACAGTTGTTCCACCTGGAGCAGTACACACACCAAAACAATTGTGCATTGACCATACACACGAGAAATTGTACTTTTCGGATCGCGAAGGAATGAGGGTTCATAGAGTCGATTTCAATGGTAGCCAGCATGAGATCCTCATCCAGACTGGTGATTATCATCATCCGTCTCATAAAGCTGACCAGAACCGATGGGTAGGACACCTTTAGCGTGTATAGTGGGGCCATGGCTAACAGACGCTTGACAATTTCAGTGTGTGGGAATTGCTGTTGACCCAAAGCACGGCAAGTTCTACTGGACTCAGAAGGGCTATAGCAAGTCGGGTCAAGGAAAGATCCTCAGGGCAAGTATTACTTTGCCTGCAGATGCAAAGGCTTCCACGCGCTCAGATATGGAAACTCTCTTCGAAGACCTGCCCGAACCGATCGACTTGGAGGTGGACTCGGAAAATGAATTCCTATATTGGACTGACAGAGGTGAATATCCACTTGGCAATTCAGTAAATCGAGGCTATGTTGGACCCAAGCCTCGGGATCCTAGAGCAGCCAACTTTACGATATTAACGAGGCACTTGCATGAGGTATATTTTCCCACTTGGTGGTTCGAAACCTCACTAACATCTTTTACTCACAGGCGATCGGTCTACGCTTAGACAAGGTAAACAAACATATTTACTTTACTGATCTGGGAGGATCATTGTACCGCACAGATCTCCAGGGTGGAAACAAGACGGTTATATACAGCGGTAGAGCTGCTCTTACAGGACTTGCCTTGACACATATCAATTAAATTACTTTCTGTGGGAGATGGATAAGTCCGATCGGGTTCATCAATGTTCTTCCTTTCTTGCTTAGTTAATTTAATCCACTATGCTTTTGTTGCTTTCGTTGGATTAAGTTATACATTGAAGCGAAATACCCCATGTACATGTATTTCTTTCCATAATCACGCCATATATATTTTGTAAGATTCAGTAGCTTACACCTGATATATGCATCACGATTGGGGTCCCGTACGAAATGCCTCGGAATTAACTGGAGGTCTACCGAGGCGTGGCAAAATACGTTATGTCGACGGACATCCCAAACGTGATGTCGTTATCAAACCCACTTTTACAAACATGATTATGAATCAAATCTGATACGTTAATAATATGATATATGATACAATTACGATATCACTATTCTGAGGAAGCTCCTTGAGACCGTCGTTTCTACAATTAACACTTTACTACTGCGATAATGCTATTACATTGTCGTGTCCTGGGCAATGTAGTTGGTTGACAAATCCAAGACGTCCATAGCAATCTCAAATGATACAAAGAGTGTGTCACATTAATTCTCTCTCTTAATTAGATATAACGTGCAAGAATAAGGATTTGTTTGAGGCTTATACCCCTTTCTCCTTGGGTCTAGTCAGCGCTGATGAGTTGCTGGGCGTTAACTATATCATCGAGAAAGCAATAGTAGGGCCTGAGAATGGTTGACATAAGGTATTACTGGAAATGGAAACTAAACCCTGTACTAGAAGGAGCAACGATAGCTTCCTGGGGGTTTGTGCCTCTTCCCTTGATACCCATTGGGTGCATACTCGAGCCGATGGCAACTCTGCTCATGATGTATTAAACCCAGTTCATGTAGCTCTTTACTCGACGAAAAGTGGAACTCTTCAAAAGCAAACTTTAACTACATAACTCAATTACTTGTATTTGATGAGATAATTATAGCTGTCGTAGATAATTCAGTAGAACGTAATACATAGATCCAATTGGCTAATATATAGTGCATTGGCAAAGCTGGTAATATTTTACATTGTCCGGAAGCTCAATTTAATCCGCCGTAATCAATATTCTTTGAGAGGCTCGGGATGAAGAAATCATAAGAGGCCAAGGTCTAAATCCTCATGCACCATCTAGAACAAATTAGAATTTTCATTGAAGTTCAAATAATCGCTAGTAAACCTGGGGCACCTAAGGGATAGAAACATGTCGATATACCAGATTTATTGTCGATTGAATAAACCTCCAAAGCTGAATAACGAAGCTTCGTCCATCAATGCGTCTAAGACTCCTGTTGGTGGTTCATCCAGGGAGTTGGACCTCTCAAGCACATATCCTTCGCACGCCGCCAATTGTTTCCTTGCAGACATCCCTACAGGCGCTAGCTCAGTCAAAAAGGTTCTTGGTACATCCGCGTGAAATATTTGGTCAATACCCTTGCTGAAGATCCCACGATAGATAGACACAACAGCGTAGGTTTTCTGAATCTCTTCCATAATCAACCTTAACATGTCGAGCTTGTGGCGCCTGAGATGCTTGGACAGAGGGTTGTCAGAACTACAGCGGAGAAGGTGCGGTTGCATTGCAGGGAAAAAGAGTAAAGGACTGGTCCATTCCAGGTGTGTCAGCCGATAGAGTATTACGGAGAGAGCTGGAGAATAGGGTTAAGTAAACCATCAAAACACACTGCCAAGCTACTCACGTCATAGGGCCTGCATATTGAAGGAGTTCCTCATGGGCAAGCATCTCAGCAATGTCGTTCACCTTTGAGGCAGCCGAGTCGGCTTTGAGACGCATCTGTTCCCGCCAGTCATCTTGTTGGGAGATGTGGAGACCCCCTGGTATTTCATCATCTGGAGTTGGTTGGAGTTTGGCTATGGCCACGGGCTTGTAGTGCCCTAGCCCCGCAGGACCTGCAGAAAAAGGTCAGATATTTAATTACATTGTCCAGGGCTTTCCCGATATGAGAAGCTCACTTTCTTAGCTGCCTTGCATGTACAACACAGTCAACGCTATCCTGAGCACACCGGACGCAAGGAACCCCAGTGACCCCTATGCTGCATCGGACTTTACGGCGACGACAAGCCTGGCATGCCACTGAAGTCCGCTGGGGACGTGTAGATATGAGGTTAGAGGGTTACATGATCGATCCTCAGCTCTTGTATCTGTTGTTGAGGCACTTTCGAGGTCGATAGGCCCAAAGTGGGACCCTGCGACAAAGCCCGGTGAATCTATCGTTAAGCGGCGGTTTAAAGCTCCACGGCCGGAATTCTGCAACGCCGCGGCATCACCAATAATTTCTAATTATAATTAATCGAGGATTTGAATTATTCTGGGTGAGAGAAGTGCTGAAATTACAAAAGATGAGAAAACGATTTAAGATATATATAATTATTATAGTACAGATTTGATCTACGCTGTCCTCTTAAGTGCTTTCCAATACATAATAGCTAGGTACTCCTCCAAGTACAAATCCTATCCAACCTAATAAAACGACCTTGGATTTCTATATTACCTAAAGATATGACACTATGTTCGGATAATTAGCGCAAGGTGTATCATAGCCATGAAATATGGCGATCATAGTAGCAGTGAGGCACAGGTCCCGTTGTCCAGTGAGGGGTGACAGCACTGTCTCCCAGCTTGACT